GATAGGTTATTTACAGTAACCGGGCGACCATTGGTCTCCCGGCTGGGAAGCCAGCCCTTTTGATTGGGCCGGCTAGGATCCTCCGGATCCTTTGTCTTTCGACTGAAGCTAACATAGGAATTGTGCCTGGCCAGCCCGGGCAAGTCCGGGCATGTCAGGCTGAATACATTACAGTAAACAATCATGCAGGGCCCTGATTCAGATTTGGGCCACAGTACAGAGGAGAGAGGGGTTTAATTCTGTCACATGGCTTCACCTACTGAACCTGACCTTCTTCCCAGGTTGTTATCATAAATACAAAAAGAGGGACTACCTCAGTCTCTTTTCCTATCTTTTTTCCCTTTCTTGTGGTAAGAATAGAGCCTGAAAGGCACTTGATAGCTGAAGCTTTGAGCAAGCCATTCTCTCTACCCCCATGCTGCAGTTTTCTGTCAGCCCCATTCTAAATAAAGGCCCCACATCACTGCAGTTTACCTCTGAAAAAACTCTTGGGAAAATCTGACTATGGATTGGCCAGCTTCTCATCTAGCTGGGCTCACAATTTTCTCATGCTTCAGTATGAACTGTAGAACAGCATTTGCTACATATCCAAAGATATATTCTGTATATAGAAGAATACCTTTATATGCAATAGATGAGAGAGCTGGCATGGCATGTGCCAATGAGACCTTGCTGACAGAGAGGGGAAGGCTTAACCTCTCCCCACTAGGTCTTCCAGGGTACTCGGTGATGCATAGGGCTCCTCTAGAGCAAATGGCAGCTTCAGAAGGTGCCATGTATAATACTGTGTATAGGGTTGCCAGGTCCCTTTTGCCCACTGGTGGGGGATGGAGGGGATGTTCCAGGAGTGGGAAGTGACATGCCCCCCCTTCCCCTCAAAACAGTGACATCATACGCAGTGTTCCTGCATCACCTGGAAGTGATGTCAGCACATTGGTGATGTTGGGGGTGATGGTCTGGATTTTGGGTAAAACTCTATGGTAAAATCAGCACCAACCCATAGGGTTTTGCCCAAAATCCAGAGACTCATCCTCCCCTCCCCAACATCACTGACGTGCCAATGTCATTCCGGGTGATGCAGGCATGATGCATGCAACATCACTGTTTGGGAAGGATTCCCTCCAGCTAGCCAAGTGGCCGGTGGTGGGCAGAGGCCGCAAAATCAGGAAATCCTCTGAGCCCCCACAGGGCAAATGGCAACCTTAACTGTGTACCTGCTGAGTGCCCTCCTCAAGACAAACTCTGCCTTCCACAAGAACTGCACCCAATCTTCAGGGATTTCCCTAATGCATCAGCATAGGCCAGGTTGGGAGGGGGTGTTGCTGTGGTCTATAGGGATTCTGTCCTCCTGGCACATTGCCCTAGCCAGGACTCTTTTGAGCCTATGTACCTATAGTTGGGACTACAGCACAGGACTGGGACACTGTCTAACAGTCACCCTGCCTGAGCTTGAGAGGTGGTCTCAGAGGTAGTGTTGAGAACTGCTAGGCTGGTTGCCCTCATGAATCGCCCCCTTGGAACACTGTCCCTATGAAGAAAGGTTAAAATGCTTGGGGCTCTTTACCTTGGAGAAACAATGACCGAGGGGGTGACATGATTGAGGTTTATAAGATTATGCATGGGATAGAGCAGATAGAGAAAGAAGTACTTTTCTCCCTTTCTCACAATACAAGAACTCATGGGCACTCCATGAAATTGCTGAGCAGTCGGGTTAGAACAGATAACAGGAAGTACTTCTTCACCCAAAGAGTGATTCACACATGGAATTCACTGCCACAGGAGGTGGCAGTGGCTATAAGCATGGACGGCTTCAAGAGGGAATTAGATAAACATATGGAGCAGTGGTCCATCAGTGGCTACTAGCCACAAGGTATAGATAGGAACTCTCAAGTCACTGGGGCAAGTGATGCACCGTTTTCTTAGTGCTTGGGGGGGCAAGAGTGGGAGGGCTTCTAGTGTCCTGGCCCCAGTGGTGGACCTCCTGATGGCACCTGGTATTTTTGACCACTGTGTGACAGTGTTGGACTGGATGGGCCATTGGCCTGATCCAACATTGGCTTCCCTTATGTTCTTATGAATTTCAACATCCATGCCAAACCTGTCATGAACAGCTCAGGATTTCATGCCCTCCATGACAACCATAGGCCTGTTACAAGTAATTGCTGGTCCCATGCATTGTAGTGGTTAAGTGTGCAGACTCTAATCTGGGAGAACTGGGTTCGATTCCCCAGTCCTCCACTTGCACCTGCTGATGTGACCTTGGGTCAGTCACAAGCTCTGGCACAGCTGTACCTGAAAGAGCAGTTTGTGTCAGAGTTCTCTCAGCCCCACCCACCTCACAGGGTGTCTGTTGTGGGGAGGGGAAGGGGAAGGAGTTTGTAAGCCACTCTGAGACTCCAAGTGAAGGGCGGGGTATAAATCCAATCTCCTCCTCCTCCTCCTCCTCCTCCTCCTCCTCCTCCTCCTCATCATCATCATCATCATCATGCATTATGAAGGTTACACCCTTGCTCTAGTATTTTGTTCTGAGTAAGGAAAAGGCCTCCTGGGTGGAGGAGCTGATGTAGGTTCCTTTGTTACACACAGATCGATTAGGGTTGCCAGACTGCCCGGTGGGGGTGTCCTGCTTTTGGGTGCTCCCCCCCAATCACCCCCTTACCTGCAGGAACCCTGGAAATCATTGTGACATGCCTATGAAAGTCAGAAGTGATGTAGGCATGTTGGGGACATCAGGAGGCAACGCTCGGGTTTTTGGACAAAACTCTATCATTTGAGGCAAATTCTACCATAGAGTTTTGCCCCAAAACCAAAGTGTTGTGTATTCACTCCATCCAAAAACATGTTAAGCTTGAGACCTCAGCCGGATTCTAATCTGAAACAATACCATTGGGTGAAGCAATGTCTGTAACCAATAAAATGTAAGAGTCTATGCTGGAGGGAAGACTAATGATTGGATGTTATCTTTACAATGTGATTGGATGTTAACCATGAGAGGGCGTGGCTACCCCAGCCCGGGAGAGTTTAAAAGAAGCTGTGCTCCACTGTTGTTTTGTGGTGTGTCGTCAGATGTTGTGTGATCTTTGGAAGTTCTCGTTCTTTAATAAAGCTGAATCACTTATTACTTACTTCGTTGTTGAGTTGCATACTTAACACAGAGTGTCACCCCCAATGTTCATGACGTGCCAATGTCACTTCCTGTTTACGTATGCACGTCACAATGCTCCTCCCCATTCCTGAGAAGTCCCTCCCCCTCTCCTGCTGGCATGATGATCAGACCTGGCAACCCTAAGATCAATATCTCCTTGAATTTAAATTTATGAAGATATCAAGACTCTGAAGGGGTGAGTGAGCTATTAAAATGACCCTCCCATAGATCCCAATGGGTCTCAATAGTTTTCTGTCAGGTCTAGGGGATTTTCCTGCTTATATGGTTGCTCCTCCTGTTGATGCCCTGGTTGACCTCTAGAATGAGGGAATAATCCAGGCAATTGGCACAATAGTACTTTCTCAAGTGTTAGTACCCATATAGCCTCTTGGTTAGCTGAGGGGCTACATGTGGAAAGGACAAGGGAGATAGCTAAATCTTCTTCTGAGGCCCATCTTCAGGTGTCTCTGCCTTCTGAGGTCACATGGGAGGCAAGCCAGGAGAGGGCCTTCTTGGTTATGCCATCAGAATTGTGGAACTCCCTCCACATGGACATTTGCTTGTCCCCTTCTATTTGTCGTCCGCCAGAAGGTAAAGAATTTTTTGTTTCATCTGGAGTTTTCTCAATGACCCGTTGTTCTTGCCTTAAATTGTTGCTTTTATGCGTTTATATATGTATTCTAGTTCACATTTCACTCAGCCTTCACAACATGGGAGCCCACCAAGTCTTAACTCTCAACTGCATATGGCTACCCAGTAGGCATTCCATAGACTTCCCAGTTTTGCTCACTGCCTGGGACTATAGAAAGTGATCATTTAACCATTCCCTGATCAGTCCCCACTATATGTGGCTGAAAGGTTGCATTTAGCTTTGAGGTAAAAATTGTGCCTGAGTATCACAGAGCTTTCTGCAGTACATGCTTAGAATATGAGTGAAAGAGAATCAACCAGCTAGCAGGTAAGGAAATGAGCACTGACAGAGATGAAAAAGGTTTTAAACAGCGAAGTTTAAAAACAACAAGCAGTGATACATCTACAACCCCCAAGCCAGCAAACACAGACTGTACTCCCCAATTAAACATTTAGACTCCCCAAATTCAAACATTCTTTTCTTCATCACTTCAAAAGCCTTACTATTCTGCCTTACTTCCCCTCTCCAGAATTTCATAGGAGTAAGAACTTTCCTTACGCTTTTGGGAGGCACTTACAAAGTATAGGGAAAGTCTGGAAGTGATCTGATGCTGTTCTCACGTGCTTGCAAGGGGAGTGGAACCACAGGCAATACTGGAACTGCTGCACGAGTTCCTACAGAAGTCATAGGGAGTAAGGCCAGGGACACGCAGTGTTCCCTCTAAGCTGAGTCAGTGTAAGCTAGCTCACAGTTTTCTAGCCTCTGGCTCACACATCTTTGTCTTCGCTCAGGAAGGATGGCTCCAGAGCAAACTATGCAGTAGCCAAATCGCTCACTCACAACTTTAATGCCAGTAGCTCACAAAGTAGAATTTCTGCTCACAGGACTCCACAGCTTAGAGGGAGCATTGTGCAGAGAATCACATATTTCTGTCTTTCTCATCCCCCCCCCTCCAAAAAACCCCACATCTGAGATACCCATTCGAGGGAACTGAAAGTTGTTTCTGCTGAAATCAGCTGAACAAAGCAAATTTACCAAATCACGCTTGGTTTGACTCCTCCCTCCCAGTTTGACCAGTCCCTTCCCAGCATTTAGCCTCCGCTCCCAACCTTTGCCCATGGCATTGACCTAGGCAAGTGTCCCATCAGGACAAACTGCAGGCAAAACACCCAGGCATTGAGCACACTGTCTGAGGGAGGAATCTGCTCCCACCTAACTGGATTCCTGGGGGCAATGGCTGCCTCCACTCTCCCCTCTTCAGCAAGACACCGAGAAAAAGGGCTGAGGGAAATGGCAGTGATCCTTCTTCTCCTGACTTGTCTTTGGGGTGAGTGATTTCTCCTACAATTCAGCAAATGTGTACCTTCCCCCCCTCCCCTCTGCCACAGCTCCCCTGAACGGCTTGTTTTGTAGCGATCAGAGTAGAGCATTGGTGGGTAGAAGGTGGCTCCAGGTCCACCAGCCAGTTTTTGGTGGAGCACCTGGTACTTTTAAAACAAATCGAGAGGTCCAGTCGTGACTCTGGACTGTCACAATGAATGCAGGAGTGGTACTGTGAGTTCTTTCTAGGGAGTGAGAAGAGGGCTTTGAGGTTCCTCATGGGCCAGAGAGATAAAGTAGGTCAGATGGAGCAGCAGTATTTGAATGTCCCCCAGACTGGTTTGTTGCCTCTGAGTGTTCATTACTATTTCTGCCCCACACACCAGAGGCAAAGTGGCTGGTGTGTATGACCCACCCAGTCTCATACTCTGCCTCTCTCAGAGAACCTGTGAATGTACAGAAGAAGCTGTGAATGTCTTATTCTTCATGAGCCCCAGAGAAGAGGGAAAACAATGACCATGAATACTTCCTAGCCATTTTTTTAAAAGAAAGTAAAGAAAGCAGCGAAATGCAGACTTTGATCCTTGTCTGTAACACTGGCTGCCAAAACAGCAAAGGTACACAAACATTAGTTGGCTTCTCTGTGACTTCTCCAGTCAGCTACATATTAAGGCTGTCAAAATACCTCCTCTTGTTCCGGGAGACCAGATGCAAAGGTGGGTAGGGCTTTATTGTTTAGTTAGGGTGGCAGCACAAAGAGCAAATATATCTGTGCTCAATTAAGAACTACCTGAAATCCCCAGGACATAACTTAAGAATGTGTAAAGATATAACAATACATGTCTCTATTTCTAACTTTTGAGTTTGAGCCAAGCACACTTCAAAATTCTTGTGATGACTGTGGCAAGCTGGCCATAACTGATTGTACTCTTATCTCTTGCTGACCCACAGAAAAATACTAGTAAATCATAGTGCTGTAAATTGCAGTAAAACTGAACAGCACATGTATTGTTAATTATTTATATTGTAATTTAGTACTCTAGCAGATTGGCCTTGTCTTTTGCCCTGCAAAATTCCTTCCTCCATACAACTATTTATTGAAGCAAAAATGCATATGCCACCTCTCCAGCAAATGTCTCATGGCAGCTTGCAACTTAAAACAATAAAATCAGATTCAGAGAACCAACTGAAATAAAACTAGCCTGTTTAGCAAAATAATAACAACAACAACAACATTTCCATCCATTCGCCATCAAGCCAGCAGCACCTCACCTTCAAACAGCAAAAAATTAGGGTAAATCAGCAAAAAAAGCCAGTGGAATGAGGGCCATACAACGTTTTGTCTGACGCCTAAAGGTGAACACAGTGAGCATCAGATGAATGGCAGTGGATCTGCCATCAGTGAAAAAAACGTGCTTCTAGTTGCCACCCACCTCCATTTCATGACACTGAAAGACCTCGAGACAAAGATCTTCACTGGTGAGCAAGACAAGCAGAGGAGGAGGCATTTTTGAGGAGGTGGTCCTTCTGATATTAAAGGTCCAGGAGCCCACTCCTGCCTTCTTGAATCTGAAGGGCTTCAAGAGTCTGTTCTACTCCCCCCCCCATTTGCTTTTTCTCTTATGCATAAGGTTACCAGCATTGGTCTTAACTTCTGCTCTTGATGCTTTCTGTAATCTGTTCTGTGTGCCAGAAACAATCTCTACCTATCAGGCTAATCTCTTTCCACACACACCCCCTGGTGCCTGCCCACCCTCAAGATCTGCCTTGTTCAACAGCCATTCTGAATAAGGATATGCCATCCTCTATGACTAATGATGGGGGTGGGAGAATGAGGATAGGCAAGATTCAACATATTGAGAGAATCAAGGTTGTAACTGGTTAAAGAACAGGCAGCTCATTGTAAGGAAAAGAGGACGGTTTTCCCAAATGAAGAAAGTAAGCAGTAGAGTCTCTCAGAATCCGTATTGAGACCATAGTCAAGATGAAGAGAGAAGTAGCAAATTACGGAGATGGCCAAAAAAGAAAATTATGGAGAGTTCCAACAAATCTTCCCAAACTCGGTGAAACTTTATTTATTTATTCGATTTTTACCCCACCCACCCCACCGAAGCAGGCTCAGGGCGGCTTACATAAAACGTTAAGAACACACTGAAAAACACAGAACAATTCTAAAACAATTGTAAAGTGCTGATTATACATATACGACAGCGAAATATAATTTCATTGTTTGCCATAACAAAACGGAAAGCGGGATTTTAGTGTCAGTGAACGTCTTAACCAGGTACACTTCGATGGGTCTGAAGGGGCCAGTCTCAGGGCAGGGGTAGAACGCTAACTGGAAACGGCATTTCCTCTTGCTGCGCTTGCAGTGAAACAGGAAAGCCTGCTACTGGGGAAGGAACTGAAAGTCAAATAGCAAGTATGATAATGCCATTACATAAATACAGTGTGTATCGGAATCAACGAGGAGGGTCACCAGTTGGGAAATTCACTGCTTCTGTTGTGAAACGAAGGGAAACGGAAGACCAGCTTGATTTTACTAATGTCAGAGGGTAGCCAGGTCGGTCTGCTCTATGACAGAACAGTTAGGTTTGAGTCCAGTAGCACCTTAGAGACTCCAGGAGCTTACAGAGCTCTTCTTACAGGAGAGTCCGTTTCCAGGCTGATTTCCCTTGTGAAGGTATCTGACAGGGCAGTAGAGGAACAGGTCGGGCATTTCCAGGATGAAACGTTTATAAATGTGTTTTAATCACAAGTTCTCTCAGAGTTGTTCTCTCAGAACTCTCCCAGCCCCACCTACCGCACAGGGTGTCTGTTGTGGGGAGAGGAAGGGAAGGCGACTGTAAGCCGCTCGGAGACTCTTGTGGGTAGTGAAGAGTGGGGTATAAAAACGGACTTTTCTTCTTCGTTTCCAGCTGATAGCTGAAGTTGATGACAAAGGCAGAGGTGGTTAAATGTTGCAGATTCATGCTTTCATTATTTTTAAATCCTTCTGTATTGCACAAAATGTTGTGGATATTTTGTCTTGTTGTTGTAATCTGCCTTGATCCCTCAATAAGAGACAGACAGACTGACAGTTCTCCCAATAAATAAGATCCACACTGGGCAGGAAAAAATGTGGGAGAGAAGGCCTAGAACGATCAAGCTGTTGTGGCATCTTCCTTATCAGGAAAGGCTAAAGCATTTGGGGCTTTCTAATTTAGCCAAGAGACACCAAGTAGGAAATGACAGAGGATTGTAAAATGACAAATATGGTACTGAAGTCAAACTCCTCTCATGAAGCATCAGGTTCAGGACTGAAAGAAAGGAAGGACTTCATAAAAACAAGGTGTAATATTTTATTCTGTGTTTCATGCTGGTGTAATACTGTAATAAATGACTTTGACTTCGACAATGTGCAATTAATTTGTGGAAATCACTACCAGAAGATATAGTGACGGACTCTTTTTGTAGCAGGAACTCCTTTGCATATTAGGCCACACACCCCTAATGTAGCCAATCCTCCAGGAGCTTACAGAGCTCTTCTTACAGGAGCTACTGTAAGCTCTTGGAGGATCGGCTACATTAGGGGTGTGTCGCTTAATATGCAAATGAGTACCTGCTCGAAAAGAGCCCTGATTCATGTGGCTTTTTAAAAAAGATGAGAACATATCATTGATGATAGTTCTGTCTAATGTTTTTAAATGTGACAGCTAAATGGAACCCCTACGAAAAGAGACAGTGTACCGTTAAATGCTAGGCTCCTATGAGAATGAATAGAGAATGGCCATTGCCGTCTTTTGAGCACCAGGAAGCTGGCTGCTGTTAGAAGAAGGACAGTGGACTAGGTGGACTTGGTTTGATCCAGCAAGGCAGTTCCCATTGCCTCTCCCCCCTCCCCTCAGCCACTTTCCTGTCCTAATGCCACTTCTCGAATGATAATTCAAGGGAGAAGCTCTCTCTTCTGACTCACTCTCTGAAAATTCATCTTCCCAGGTGTGGTTTGGGGCTCAGATCCTACAACTTCAGCCACCGCTGAGGTGAGGCTAGCGAATGGAACGAGTCGCTGCAACGGAAGAGTGGAAGTGCTCCATAATGGCCAGTGGGGCACCGTTTGTGATGATAACTGGGGCATGGAGGATGCCAGAGTCGTATGCCGGCAGTTGGGCTGCACGGCAGCATTATCAGTCGTATCCAGAGCACATTTTGGAAAAGGAACTGGCCGCATCTGGCTGGATGAAGTTGAATGCAAAGGCACAGAATCAACTCTCAGTCAGTGCCCTGCAAGGCCTTGGGGAGAAAACAACTGCAACCATGGAGAAGATGCTGGTGTCATATGCGCAGGTAAATTGATTTATCTATGGGCTGATTCACATTTTCCGTCTTAAAAGATTGGTTTGTTCACCTGGCCAAAAATGCTGTGGCCAGGAATGCTCAGGAATCAACAGATGAAGCTTTGCACAGCATGGAAAGAAATATTTCCACTTGGACATCAAATTGCTGTTAAAGGCAAAGCAAGGGAGCTACTAACAGAAGCATCCTAAACATATGGAGATCCACATGAGATGAATTAGTCTACTAAAGGTCATGAGGTGAATTTTTCTGCCCTGACTTAGATCGCCCAGGCCAAATCTCATAAGATCTCAGAAGCAAAAGAGAGCGGACCCTGGCAAGTACTTGGATGGGAGACCTCCAAGGAATACCAGCGCTGGGTTGCAGAGGTAGGCAACTATCAAGCCATTTCTCTGAAACTTCCTACCCGTACTAGGAGTCACTAGAAGTCACCATAACTTCCAGGTAGGCAAGCACACTCACACAAACACACAAATACCCCCCCCCCCAAAAAAAAATGAGATGAATTTTTCTTAAGAACCGGCTCCCACTTTTGGTGACAGTATTGTTCACATCAAGGGGAAGAAAGGAAAAGAAAAACAGGAAAAATAGGTTTGGAAAGGAGGTAGATCCTGAGAGAATTGATATATTGTTAATTGTCTCCCTGAAGTGAGGTAGGCATAACACAGGCTTGGGATGGCTAAGGGAACCCACCAAATAAAGGAAATATGTCATGGAAGGCTCTTAGCTGACCCCAACATCAATTCACCTCCTCTGTGTTCGAAAGCAAACAACTGAAAAGAAAGGTATTTGGAGAGGGCATTGACAAAGGAGGAAACCAAGTCCCATAGCTTTATTTTCATTCTTGACTTCTTACCTTGAAAGGAGCCTGCTTTCCTTATCCACCCCAACTTCTTAGGCTCCCAGAGTTTCTCAAACTAACGTATAGGCGACTGAATGAAAGGGGAATCATCAACTGGAGGGCATTACCACAGGAAGTTTTGATGTCTATTAGCCTATGTGGCAATAAAAAGAACAAGCAATCAGTTCCCAGCAACGTTCATTCAGAGAAGTTAAGTTTATTGAGACATTGATGCTATAGGTATCTTGACTATTTTGTGTTAGAACTAAAGAGAAAGCGCAAAGTAATAGATATACATAACTCAAAGGGGTCCCCTGATGGCCTATAGCCAATCAGGTAGCCAGCAGAAGCCCACCAATGTAACGGGCAACATTTCCCAAGAGAAATACTGTACCAGGCACCCAAGGTCATATAACATAGCAGACTGATAAGAAACCCGGTGAAGGCACAGCAGAAACAAGAGTCATCATTCCAAGGTACCTACGCCCCCCCATCTGCATGACAGCCAGGCAAGAAGCCTACCTGACAGGGGTCAACTGAAATTATAATAACTGAAAGACAAAGATTCCAGTCAGACAAACAAAAAACCCAGTGAGTTGAGTCCAGTCCAAAATTTCTGCTTGTGCTATAGAGCTGTTGCTCAAGGCAATAGGAAATAGATATGGTAGTTGCATACGCTAAATCAATGCACATACAAAAAATTATGCAAGAAAAAGATCTCAGTAGCTGCTTGTGGCCCCAACCTAGATGGTCCAAGCTAGCCTGATCTTGTTGGATGTCAAAAGTTAAGCAGGATCAGCCCTGGTTAGTACTTGGATGGGAGACCCCCAAGAAAGTCTAGGGTTGCAATACTGAGGCAGGAAATGGCAAACCATCTCTGTTCTTCTCTTCACTTCAAAATCTTACAATGTTAGCTACATGTGTTAGCTGCAACTTGACAGCACCACTAGCTGCTTGTGCAAAATTGGGAAGTCTCCATCCCAAGAGTTGCAGTGCCATTTTCTGCACATGAACACAGCCCAAGAGAGTTTAAGTTTCAAACTAATCTGGGAAAACTGGGTTTCATTCCCCACTCTTCCACATGCAGCTGCTGGAGTGACCTTGGGTCACTCACAAGTTCTCTTAGAGCTGTTCTGGAAACAGCAGTTCTCTCAGAGCTCTCTGAGCCCCACCTACCTCACAGGGTGTCTGTTGAAGGGAGAGGAAGGGAAAGAAGATTGTAAGCCTCTCTGAGACTCCAAGTGAAGGGCAGGGTATAAATCCAATCTCTTCTTCTCTTCTTCATCATTACTATGTATTCAGTTTTACATATCTTTGCCACTTTTACATATTAATTAGAATCTCTAACACATAAAAATATATCAAGGTTCAAAGGAAGGTCTATTATATATGTCATATCAAGAGCCTATTCGTATTTGAGATGTAGCATTTTAAACAAATTTTAATTCTATTTGTATTTCTTTACCATAAATTTGCATATAATATTTTGTCTCCTCCTAGCATCGTACACATAATACACACTCCATCTCTCCTCAAATTTCATAATAGACCTGTTTATCAAATAGGTTGTTAATTTTGCCATTATTGCATATTCAGCAAGTTTATTTTCCCATTCTTCTAAACATGGACAGATGTCTAGAGACAATACTCCTCTTGATTCAATATTCTAGGAACAAAATGGATGCCATCACCATTCATGTGAATGAGAATGAAGAATTTAGCTGACCATGGCCAGATACATAACGGTGAAACCACTGGTCTCACTGAGCTTGTAAATGCTTATGTTTGCTTTGCATGTCACAAAAAACATTTTTGTTTCTTTTAAAGCCCAGAAGGCTTGGTATGAAGGCCTGATGGTTCAACATGAATTGCATTGGTTGTGACTGTCATTCTGTTTCTCTCTTAATAGATGTAAGGCTGGTCGGCGGTTCAACTCCCTGTACTGGCCGGGTTGAGGTGTTCCATAACCAACAATGGGGAACAGTGTGTGAAAATGGCTGGGACATCAATGAAGCTCGTGTTGTGTGCCGGGAAGTGGGTTGTGGAGATGCCAGAGCTGCACCTGGTAGAGCTAAATTTGGACAAGGATCTGGTCCCACTTGGATGGATGGAGTCAACTGCACAGGATCAGAAGACAGTCTGAGTAAATGCCCAGCAAAGCCATTGACAGAACACAGCTGTGACCACAGCAAAGATGCCAGTGTGGAGTGTGAAGGTAATTGCCAAAGAACCATAGATATTGTTACATTCAGCCTTGCTTACTTGAGTTCATGGGGGCAATGCTTATCTGGGTTAGTTCCCTTTGAAGGAGAAAGCACTGGAGACTCATGGTGATTCTGCGATGTTTCCTTTATTGACAAACAGAGCACAGAGGGAGATAGGTAGGGATCCGCAGGGTAGCAGATCCACTTCTCCACATCAGATCCCCAGAGAGGTCCTGCATCCTCAACATGCTTCACCTCACTCACAGGAGTGTCTCCCGCTCTTTCTGTCTCTGCAGACACCTGTCTCTACCATCCCTTCAGCAAGAAGGGAGCTCACCTCTTCCAAGCTCCTATGGGCACTTGCCAGTGCTGTCTTCTGACACTTAAAACCCATTGAGGAGGTTTCTGTTGTTACTAAAAATACCCATTAGAATTCCTGTCTCATATAGGAGAGACTGAAAATAATCAGGGGACAGTAGTCAGAGTGCAAGCTTGTAATAACAGGAAAAGAACCATAAAATCATATAAGCCATCACATAAAGATATCCTGCATAGCTGTTTACTTAGCTCACTGACAGACAATAACTTCTCCAAGAATGGCCAGCAGCTGGCAATCTTGACCAGCATCCCTTAGAAAGTTCCTGTGTGACCCACAAGTTGTCAAATTCATTGTCCCTCGTTTGTTCAAAACAGACATTTTAAACAGTCAGTAGTGGAAAGGGGGGAACTGAGAGACAACGAGAAAAGATGGGCAAATGATGAGGGATGAGGAGCACCTGATATATCTTACACTGTCCTCTTCTGAGTAGGTCACAGTGCCCAGATTCTTCATGAAGTTCTAGTGGGATGAAGTCAAGTCACACACACCACTGGTTATGTTTATGCATCAAATAGTGATGTACATTCCATACAAATATATCTATTACCTCACCCGCGAGCACTGTTGGTACCAACCAAAAGGTACAAGGTGGCCAGCAGCTCACAACAGTAGTTGAAAACATGCTTGAGTTGGGGCTTCTCAAAGATGGCAAGAAGGCAGCAGATGGAACTGAGGGAGAATCTTTTGCATGTGAAGCAGCACTCTCTGCTTCACCGCAAATAATTTAAGCAAGCTTTGCAATGCTCAGTAGTTCTAATATGACTTCTTACCACATCATCTGTTCCTATTTTGTGCATGTTGCTTAGCCAGCAGTTCTTTATTAAATTAATAAATTAGCTAATAGTTCCTCAAATTTCTGAACAGTTTTTGTAGAGAGACTCCCCCATTAACTGCTGCAGTATTCTCAGTTTAAGTACAAATTATTTCACCTGTGTCTTAATTCATCTACAAACCCCTTCTCTTTTTAATTTTTTTTCCTGATCAGTGGTTTATCTCTTAGCAACAAACACACATTGAAGAAACATCACTGAACCATTCAAAGTCATCAACATGATGAAAGAATGATCAGCAAACAGACTGTTTCCTAGACAGGGGAATAAATAGGGGAAACCACGGTATATGTCCTAGGAGCAGTGATAGTTATTTCTTTTCATAGAAAACAATAAGACTGCAAAATTTTGAGATAGCAGCAAGTGATTTGGGATGATAGAAAATCCCAAACTGTCTGCAAAGTGTTTTCCTTTAAACCAAACTTTTAAAAACTGTTGAATCCCTTCCAGTATTGAAGCATTGAATGTCTTCCAAAATAACTAGCCTTTGCTCTCAGCAATGAGGGGATTACCTCCTAACTTTAATCGATGGGCCATTCTGAGTGAATACAACATTTTAAAGCCTCAAACCCCGAGCAACAGACATCATGGTTGAGATCAATTTTGTTTGTTTGTAAGTCAAACGTGTTCACCAATTATGATTTCTGCCTATGGTCCAAAGGACCCATATGAACCACTGGTTTTCAAGGTAAGCTCTCCAAATTTGCCTTTCTTCCTAAACATTCCCCAGCTCTTGATCTGCAGTGTGTGGGTATTTGTGGAGGGATTAGGTCCTATGTTTCTGATACTCTCAGATATTGTCTTTGTGTGCAGAGTTGCAAGGAAATGTGGCAGCTGGTTTGGCCACTACCTGTTCTCAAAGTCCTATGGTGACCACAATCTCAACAAGGTTGGGGATGCTTGCTCGACATATCTCATTTCCTTTTGTCATGTAGCATAGACTGAGTGACATTTATCAGATACCAAGCCTGCAGCCGCATGTGTGGGAGAAGACTACAACTGTGTCCCATGTTGGCCTTTCTTTGTACTACATTAACCTCCCCCCCCCCCGAAGAATAGTTACTATAATGTGACCCATCCCGCTGCATTCTGAAATGGTGCTGTCCAGAAACAGGTAGGTCAAACAGAGTTTGAAGGAACAGAGCAAACTAAATTCCAATTGTGTGTTTTAAGGAAGAACCATATGCCCACCATCCTACTACAGGTATGCCTAGGCTGCATACAGATGTCACAGGGCATTTTTTCCCCTTATGGGATAAACCTGCATTCATTTTTTGTTTGCAGTATAAATGACTGATGTTCTTATCAACTGTTTGTCCTGTCTATCACCTCATGATTCAAAGGGCTAGCTTATTTTTTTTCGTAAAGTGTAAAGCACTGCATGGTCATTTAATATTCTATCTATCTATCTATCTATCTATCTATCTATCTATCTATCATCTTTAAAATCAGAGGTGTCAAACTCATCTATCTATCTATCTATCTATCTATCTATCTATCTATCGTCTATCTATCTATCTATCTATCTATCTATCTATCTATCTATCTATCTATCTTTTAAATCAGAGGTGTCAAACTCATTTGTTATGAGGGCCGGATCTGACATAAATGCCACTTTGCCGGGAGGGCCACATGTGCCATAAAACGTCATGCCAGGTACTGGAGACAGAAACTGTATAAAGGACAGCAGCTGGTAAGCTCCAAGTTGGTGTATCCTCACTGCAAGGCCCCATGGGCTGGTAGAGGGGTGGAGGAAAACCCACCTAGGCGGACTGGAGAGCCAGCAGTGCAGCACTGGGCAGATACTCCCACAATGCTTGACTGCTGTAGACAAGGTTGTTCTGCCATGCTGAAGCCACAATAGAATGGCTCTGCTCACTTCCCCCAGCACTTCCTCCCTTGCATCGGTTGCTCGCGGGCCACATAAGAGCCCAGGACAGGCCTGATCTGCCCCCCAGGCCTTATGTTTTACACCCCTGTTTTAAATAGTTGAAAACTCCAGGCAGGGGGAAGAGGAGGTGATCTTATTACATCAGAAGTTTCAGGAAATCAGAACAGCAAACGTCTGCACCAAGGCCTAAGAAGCTGTTTCCCCTGACCATAATCTCAGAAAGATTTGTATATCAATGCAGCAAGAGTCTTTCCACAGTGATAGTGCTCAGATTATATCCACTATTTGCATGGCCTGTTCAACTAGGATCAAAGCATGCTAGTAGCAGAGACATCAGCTTCGGAAATGTTCATTCTTTGTGTCTTTCTTCTTCTCAGAGCCTCCTGAAATCAGATTAGCAGAAGGTCCTACTCACTGCTCTGGCAGAGTTGAGATACTCCATGAACAAATTTGGGGAACTATATGTGACGACGACTGGGACCTTGAAGATGCCAATGTTGTGTGCCATTATCTTGGCTGCGGAAGTGCCACTTCAGCTCCGCGAGGTTCTCGTTTTGGAGCAGGAAGCGGCCCCATCTGGCTGGATGGTGTGAACTGCACAGGATCAGAGAAGGCCATCAGTAAATGCCCTGCTAAAGAATGGGGGCAGCATGACTGTACCCACACTGAAGACGCTGGCGTTATATGTACAGGTAACAGACCTGTGTCCAAAATCAAAACCTGGCAAAAGACGATGATTGTTATTATTGTTATATTTAATTTATACCCCGTCCTTTCCCATGAGTGGGCTCAGGGCGGCTCAAGTATGAAAGTTTCTTTTCGAATATGGAAATTTCTTTCTATTCCATCACTTTTAAATTTTAAATTAAAGAGCAGGTCGAGAAAGAGGTACTTTTCTCCCTTTCTCACAATACAATACTCCCTTTCTCACAATACAATACTCCCTTTCTCACAATACAAGAACTCGTGGGCACTCCATGAAACTGCAGAGCGGTCGGGTTAGAACGGATAAGAGGAAGTACTTCTTCACCCAAAGAGTGATTAACACTTGGAATTCACTGCCACAGGAAGTGGGGGTGGCTACAAGCATGGACGGCTTCAAAAGGGAATTAGATAAGCATATGGAGCAGAGGTCCATCAGTGGCTATTAGCCACAAGGTATAGATAGGGGCTCTGGGGCAAGTGATGCTCTGTCTTCTTGGTGCTTGGGGGGGTCAACAGTGGGAGGGCTTCTAATGTCCTGGCCCCACTGGTGGACCTCCTGATGGCACTGGTATTTCTGGCCACTGTGTGACACAGAGTGTTGGACTGGATGGGCCTTTGGCCTGATCCAACATTGGCATCTCTTATGTTCTTATGTTCTTATGTTCCAACACTTAACCTGAAGGGGTATTTTCTTTGCCCCCACATACAACCTCCCCTGCAAAATTAGCCCATGGATTCCAGTTTACAGCATGACATGAGCAAAAAACAACAACAACTGGGTGCACCTACAGAGCAAGTCACTTCAGATGACTCAAGCAAGCAAACCCATCTATAAGCACAAATAATAGGGCAGAAACTGGGGAAATATCATGTACTATAATGATTGGCTGAGGTTTCCTCAATGTGCATGTATCATTAAAGGGGGGGGGGACTCTCCTGAGCTTTTAAACTGAACCAGGGTGATCCTGAAATTCTGCTACATCCCTTGAGATGAGGAAGCTCTGATGCACTATAGTTGGGTTCAATTGCCAAGCTCTCCATGGGGGCAGCATAGCAGAATGCTTTAAGAAACAAGCCATCAGTTGCAGTAATTGAGGTGCACCAATGGCCCAATCTGCATCTAGCATTTGCTCCTCTGTGTTACCAAACCCACGTCGTATATGCATATATGTTCCACGTCAGAACAGAAATTCCCCTCTGCATTGCATGCCACTTTTGCTTTGATTGGCAGTGTCCAGACTGTGTGCTGCTTTCACTTTGTTTGATCTCTCGGTTTTATGGAACTGTCCGCATAGATTTCAGGGGTGACTCTGCAGTCAGTACAGCATTGGCCTGGGGTATTTGACTGTGGTTTTGAGCCACATCTTTTTCTGTTCCAATGTGGGTTTGGTAAAACAACAGAGCAAAAGCTAGGTGCAGACTGGGCAGTCAAAAGCCAGCAGAGAAAGATGAGCATGTCTCAACTATGTTGGAAGATGAGTATTCCAAGCAGGTCGCTTGTTGTATTCATTGCTCCTGCTCAGATCTATAACTCTTTTCTAGTGGTGCAGCAGATATGGGTAAGAAGGAGATTTGTTGTTGTTTGGTCCATTCCTTATAGCCCCATATATAGGGCAAATTGTTGAGCCAATTCTCCCTCCTGCTGGCTATGTCACAGACAATATCCAGCATGAATCAAGCGCTGCACCCATGTTACCTGCATAACAGAGCAGAGAGAAAACAGTCCATTAGTTGTTGTAGATTTTCCAGGCTGTATGGCTGTGGTCTTGGCATTATAGTACCTGACATTTTGCCAGCAGCTGTGATGAGTACTCCATCTTTCGGTGTTATACCTCTGAAGATGCCAGTCACAGCTGCTGGCGAAACATCAGGTACATCAAAACACAAATTGCTGCAAAGTTCTTACAGTGAAAAAGATGGACAATAATAGACTATAAATAATGAGCTTTGTGATGTTTAATTCTTGTATTTTCAACGACAGGATGCCATCAGAAGAGTGATGACACCAAGAAGAGAAGGACAAACCTCTCGAGTAATCGTTTGTTTCGAAGAGTTTCTTTTTCAAACAGATCTCCTAACAATAAACGAACACAGCTTAAAGCAAGGAACAACCTGGCTCCATTCCATCAATTTTGTTAAAAAACAATTTGGTTAACAAACCATACATACAGTTCTGTAGTTTTTCTTAATATGACCAAACCACAATGCAGTTCTTACACTCTGTTGATAGAAAATTATTTTTCTTTAGTACACAACATTTTTCAATAGAATTTTAAAATCAGTTATAACAATAATTCATTCACATCTTACCAACAACTCTTTGTTTCAGTTCTTAGCTACCAAGTCTTTCAATCGGACACAAGTCTTAACCACAACATACATGACTTACATTATATACAAAAAACTCTACAGACCACGTGCTATTCTTACTGAGGATGCCAACTTATCAGTGCTTCCTATATACAGATGCATAGTTTTCCCAAGCATTTACAAACGCAGCAGGAGCATAAGCCCAAGGAGCCACATTGAGACCGGCCGGTTGTACTGTTCTAAAGCCAATGTGGCTTTAGAACTGTTGTGTTTTCTATGAAGAGACTTAGGTTACTCTACACCTCTGTAACGATCTCGTGGGGGAAGGCATGCTGAATAGCTGCCGTGTCTCCTATGAAGAAACTTAAGTCACTCTAAACCTTTGTAACGATCTAGTGGGAAAGATATGCTGAATAGTTAATTGTCTGTGATTCTTTAGTTGTAATAATTTCTTGCTATGTATACTCTCCTTGGGCTTATGGTAAGATGTGAATGAATTATTGTTATAACTGATTTTAAAATTCTATTGAAAAATGTTGTGTACTAAAGAAAAATAATTTTCTATCAACAGAGTGTAAGAACTGCATTGTGGTTTGGTCATATTAAGAAAAACTACAGAACTGTATGTATGGTTTGTTAACCAAATTGTTTTTTAACAAAATTGATGGAATGGAGCCAGGTTGTTCCTTGCTTTAAGCTGTGGTCGTTTATTGTTAGGAGATCTGTTTGAAAAATAAACTCTTCGAAACGAATGATTACTCGAGAGGTTCGTCCTTCTCTTCTTGGTGTCATCACTCTTCTGATGGCATCCTGTCGTTGAAAATACAAGAATTAAACATCACAAAGCTCATTATTTATAGTCTATTATTGTCCATCTTTTTCACTGTAAGAACTTTGCAGCAATTTGTGTTTTGATGTCTATTGTATTGCTGTTCCCTTGATTGCTATTATTTGAAACATCAGGTACTACAGTGCCAAGACCATGGCCATACAGCCTGGAAAAACTACAACAACTAATGAACTCCGGCCGTGAAAGGCTTTGACAACATAGAAAACAGTCCACCACTGTAGCAAGTGCATAGGGTATGGATACTCAAATCGCACACACATTTTGTCCACTAAGAACGGCGTGTACACACAGGTTGCTATTTTTACATTTTTTTTAAAGAATCACAGAAATAGGAATCCAATCTAGTCAATCAATTACCCAATCATTTGTATTTTAAAAGGGGGGGGAACCCAGCCATTTTACCTTCAGGCTCCAGTCTGCGTGTGTTTTGACTTGCAGTACAGATTCCCATAATGAAGAATGACCTTTAACTGCCCTTTCCCAATCCTAGTCAATGATTGTCGGAGAACCTTCTCCACACTGTAAATATATTTGGTATGCATTTGGGTCTGTGAATTTCTCCTGCCCTGGATATTTCAATGGGATTCTTAATCCTTTACTCCATGTGTGCGCTACTGTGTTTAATGTGTATATATGTTTGTTTGTCCTGTCAGATATCCGACTGATGAACGGCTCAACTCGTTGCTCAGGGAGGGTTGAGATATATCACAACAAGCAGTGGGGCACCATTTGTGATGACGGCTGGGATGTGCAGGATGCAGAAGTTGTGTGCCGGGAGCTGGACTGTGGAAATGCTTTAACAGCAACAGGTGGAGCACGCTATACCCAAGGATCTGGTACCATCTGGCTAGACAGAGTTAACTGCACAGGGAAAGAAGCATCCCTGAGAGAATGCCAAGCAAGGCCTTGGGGAGAGCATAGCTGTGACCACAGGAGGGATGCGAGTGTGGAGTGCTCAGGTAATCTTGCAGAACATGATACCACGTTGGAAACTTCTTTTGTTCATTATAAAAATCCATGCAATGCCAACTTGACGTGAAACGTTTTGCAAGCTTTTGAGCTCATTATAACACTTCATCAGATAGGATGTTACAAAGACTGAAGGGCTGGAAGCAAATTTTTGGACTGATGATGCTCCAGGTTGATATTGCAAACATCTCCTAAGCAATGCGTACAGGAAAATAGCTGAACTGTATCATGGGTGTTGGGTTACAGCTCATTCTCTGGGCATACCAACTCGATGACATCCACTCTGTGTTCACTTCAGTAGAAATAAGAGGACCAGCTAAAGTCAGCTAAGGTCACTGTGGATCTGGAAGGGCAAACTGTCTTGTTTAAAACTGCATCATCTTCTGAAAGAAGTTGGCTATTGCCTACAACTGATGCCAGAAAGAGTCATCAAATGCCCCCATGGATAATGTTTATGTTTAAAACAGCATCAGTTCCTCAAAGCCAAGATCACACAACTGAGCTGCATCCAGTTTGTTGTAGTGGTTAAGTGTAGTAGTGGTTAAGTGCAAGGACTCAAATCTGGGAGAACAGGGTTTGATTCCCCACTCCTCCACTTGCAGCTGCTGGATGACCTTGGGCAAGCCATAGTTCTGTCAGAGCTGTTCTCTCAAGGGCTGTTCTCTGTCTGTTGTGGAGAGGGAAAGGGAAAGGTGATCGTAAGCCTCTCTGAGACTCCGAGTGAAGGACAGGGTATAAATCCAATCTCTTCTTCTCTTCTTCTGCATCCACCCATTCTGGAATATTGCTTACCGCATTTATATTACACCTTTTCCCCTAATTCTCCTCTCCTCTATTTTATCCTCACAACATCCCTGTGAGTTAAGTTACAGTGATAGTTTTTGACATGCCCAAGGTCACTTAGTGAGTTTCCAGAGAAGGGATTCGAACCTGGGTCTCCCCGATCCCTTTCCCAACACCCTAATGTTTATACCATACTGGCTGTAGGGTCACCAGCTCCAGATTGTAAAATACCTGGAGATTTGGGGGGGGGGGTGGAGCCTCAGGAGGTTGGGGTTTGGGGCATGATGCCATAGAGCCCACCTTCCAAACCGGCCATTTGCTCCAGGTGAACTGATCTCTGTCTCCTGGAGGTTCACAATCCTAACTGGTTCTCAGATATACCACACTGGCCCTGTCACTGTCCAGTCGTTGCTCTATACTATAGCAATATTTCACAATTGGATTACCCTGCACGGACAAACCAATCCACTGAATTATCCTGACTGCAAAATGCCACTACAGTGCAAAGATAGGCCAATTTCCAATGCCTTGTGGATGAAGCCAAAGCCCTTTTATTCCCCAATTGGCTCCAAAAATTATCTACAGTGAGATGACAAAAAACTAGTTCCTTCAGATCGCGATGGTGAAGAAAGATTATGACATACAGTTAGTGGCTACCAGCAATTAAAAGCCACCAGTGGTCATTTAATCACACATCTTCCAACCATCCACTGCCACTGAAAGGACATCTTCAGCTATGTGCATATGTACGTATTTAGTTATATCTATCATTTCAAAGCACTTGGTATATATGATTAAAGAGGTGTCAGTATGAGGATGAGAAATACCACTTCTTGGCCTTTACACAGTCTAACTCACTTTGGATCAGGGCCTGTGGAATAGAAAACAATCTTTTCTTCCCCCAAGACTTTCAGGTAATGAACCTAATCTGGGATTAGGCCAGGTGCATGCTTTATCTCTATGTTGCTTCTACTACCAGAGGCCCTTTTGAGCAGACTCAGTGGAATGTATCCCCTCCCCCCCAACTGGGAATGAAAACAAGAGATGATGAGTTGTAAGGACTGGTAAACTAACAGTTCCTTTAATCATTTCAGACCCAAATGAAATCAGACTGGTCAATGGTACAGGCCGCTGTGCTGGGAGAGTTGAGATACTCCACAACCAGCAGTGGGGGACCGTGTGTGATGATGGCTGGGATATGAACAGTGCCCAAACCGTGTGCAGAGAACTTGGCTGTGGGAAAGCAGTAGCAGCCCCACGAGGAGCTCATTTTGGAAGGGGAATTAATCCTATCTGGCTGGACGATGTCAAATGCAAAGGGACAGAAGCTGCCCTCAGGGACTGCCGCCTAAAGCCTTGGGGAGAACACAACTGCAACCATGGAGAAGATGCTGGTGTGGTGTGCTCAGGTAATGGACAAATGGAAACTAGATAATGCAATATGGTAAACAGTGTGAATGGCCCCAGCTATTTGACAACAGCAACTTTCACGTGAGATCTGCTACTGAAAACATTTATTTATTTATTTATTTGTTTATGTGTAAATTAGACTTTTAAGCTGCCCTCTCCTGTACACACAAGGCTCAGGGCAGTGAACAACAATCAAGCACATTCATAAGTTGATAAAACAACTTACAACAATGATATAAGAGACAATTAATAACTTCCAGATGGCACTAAAATGTCTGATTGTGCCCTTGCATTGTGGGGGGAGGCAGGGAAATGGGGAAAGGGAGAGCCAGACAAGACGGAACCCGTCACTGACCTCAGCCAAAAACCTGGCGGGACATCTCTGCCTTACGGGCCCTGCAGAACGGCATTAGGTCCTGCAGGGCATGGATGTCATTCAGCAGAGAGCTCCACCAGGTCAAAGCCAGGGCCAAAGAGACCCTGGCTCTGGTCGAGGACAGCCAGACATCTCTCAGGCTGGGGATCACCAGTAAGTTATTCTCTGCAGAGTGTAGTGCTCTTCAGGGGTATACCAGAAGAGGCGGTCCCAAAGATACGTGGATCCCAGACCATTTGGGGTTTTAGAGGTTAATACCAAAACCTTGAGTCTGATCTGGTACTCCGCCTGGAGCCAGCGTAGCTGGTGCGGCACTGGTTGAATACTTGCTGTCCATGGTGTTCCAGTAAGGACCCGTGCCACCACATTCTGGGCCAGCTGCAGTTTCTGGGTCAATCTCAAGGGTAGCCCTCCATACAGTGAGTTACAGTAGTCCAATCTGAAGGTGACTGTTGCATGGATTACTGTGGCTAGGTCAGGGTGAGACAAGAAGGGGACCAGTTGCCTGACCTGGCATACCTGGGAAAATGCCAGTCTGGCAACATTTGTGATGAACTCTGAACACACAAAGGCTGGTCCAGCCAAGCCACGTGCGCGTTCCCTGGTCGCGACTCCGGGGAACTTAGAGAGTCACCTGAAGCACCTTAGTGCGCGCTAAGGGGAAGAAGCAGAGGCTTGAGAGAGAGAGAGAGCGAAACAAAGCCGCGTTTCTCTTTTTAACAGCTCTGTTCTGGGCATGGCCTTACCTGCCATAAACCCTGGGGTCCGTCCTCTATTCTATGGCTATAGGTCCACTATAGGCCCCCCGAGAAATTCCAGGGACGCATGTGCTCTGGGGCAGGCATCTCAGCAATGCCCATCCGTGGGCAGCATGAGGTGAAAGGCCAGCCATTCAGGCACATATCAGCAAACACACATAGCAGTGAACCCTGAGTTCCCAAAGGCACAGATACATAGACATTTGATCAATACTTCATAAGCACACTACAGACAAAATGCAAATACAAGCACACATGGTAACACTGGGCCTCCATCAATAAGGAGGCATCCAGAACCACACCCAGGTTCTTAACAGTAGTTGTCGGTGTTAGGGGCACACCGACAAGAGTAGGGAGTTGGTAACCCAATCCTGATTCCCCAGCCAGCCAGCCAGCCAGCCCCAGAACCTCCATGTTAGCAGCATTCAGTCTCAGCTGGCTCTGTTTCAGCCATCTCACCAAGACCTCCAACTCCTCAGCCATGTTTACTGGGGTGGTGCCCGGCTGGCCACCCATCAACAGATAAAGCTGGGTCTCATTAGCATATTGGTGACATCTCAGCAGAGCTTTTTTTGTAGAAAAAGCCCAGCAGGAACTCATTAGCATAATAGGCCACACCCAACAGCAGAAACTCATTTGCCTATTAGGCCACACCCCTGACAGCACAGCTCATTGGCATATTAGGCCACACCCCCATGTTACCAGAAGTGTGCTCACACAGCCACACCCACCTTTTGCTTCTTATTCTGTTTACCTTGTTTGTTGTCAAAACCCAGGGCTGTTTTGTAGCAGGAACTCCTTTGCATGTTAGGCCACACACCCCTACCGTAGCCAACCCTAATGAGTTTCTGCTGCTGGGTGTGGCCTATTATGCTAATGAGTTCCTGCTGGGCGTGGCCAACTTGGAAGCCATCCGGAACTCCGTTCCTGTGCGTTCCTGCCCAAAAATAGCCCTTCATCTCAGCCTGAAACTCTTCACTAGTTGGGTAAGAGGGCACATATAGATGTTAAATGACGTTAAAGAGAGGATTACCCCAAGGGACCCCTCAGACTAAGGGGTATCTCGTTGACGTCCTCTCTGCTAGCGCTACCCTCTGTCCCCAGCTTTGGAGAAATGAGGTAAGCCACTTCAAGACTACCTCATGAACTCCTATGTCAGTGAGGCAGTGGGTCAGAAGATCATGATCGACCATGTTGAATGCTGCCATGCTGTAAGATCAAGCAATAACAGCGGCGCCAACCCACCTCAGTCCAACTGTCTTTGAAGATTGTCTGTGAGAGTGACCACTGCTGTCTCCATCCCATGGCCGGGGTGGAAGCTGGACTGGACTGGGTCCAGTGCTGATGTGTCCTCCAGGAAATTCTAGAGCTGCTCTGCCACTGCTGTCTCAATCACCTTACCCAAAAATGAGAGATTCAAAACTGAGCAGTGTTTCTCTCACACACTTTCTTGCACTCCTATTTCCCCATTTACTGCACAAATTGTGACCTTATTAAAGAGGCTGAATCAGTTCCAGCCCATGGCATACCACTAATTCATTGTTTTCTTCTATTTGGGGGAGAGAGGAATCGACAAAATTGTACCTGTGTACGAAGAGGTTTAGACACCTTCCTCATTTCTTCTGCAGTGGATTGGGTCAGAGGCCGGATGGGAACTAGTAGAGGTGTGGCCCAAGGCTTCCAGTAGCCTAGCCTTAAAAAAAAAAAGGCACACTGTAGATTAATGCTTCCCACCATCATTAAAAGGGCACTGATCAAGATTCTCTTCCTCATTTGGAAATAGGCACAGCTAGAAAGATGGTCGAGCAAGGAAACCTTTAGAAATACAATGGTAAATGTAGTCCACTATCTGCGCTATGTAGTTTCACAGTCCTGGAAGCCATCAATGCACAAGAAGCTTCTTGGTGTGGTGGTATTTATGAATGCTGTCCTGTCGCTTCACCAAATCATATGGTTAAATATGATTGGAATATTCATTTGCAGTGACTAGAGGTACATCACCACAAGGCTATTGAGATGGGAATATTAGAGGGACAAAACTACCTGTAGCAATTCAGCCTGATGGCTTAGTGAACCGGGCAAGGTACAACTGGTGCATAATACCAGCATACCATTTTGAATTAAGAATCTTCTGAGTCTTCTTCTGTAGATAAGGTAGTCCAGAGAGTCACATTCCATGCTTATGGATGAGTGTGTGATGAGAAAAGGAGTCTATGTCTAAACACTGGTAATGACATTTTGGTTGGGCTACCCCGTGATCAAAATCATATGAGATAAATTCAGTTTCATTTTCTTATTTCGTGGGCAGTGTATTCTAAAATTTTACTTTAATAAAAGGCTGTCTAAAATTTCCAGCCCCAGAGCCATGCACGTGGTATGTGCTAGAAATCTGGAAAGTAATATATATGTACATAGGTGGAGGATCTGTGAATTCTTTTGCTCTGGTATGGTAAGATATTTGCCCCAATCACATGAGTCCAAGGATTCTTCTGTTTTAATAATTTCTGCTTCCTTTTGTAACTTTCAGCTAATGGTATATGCACGAGAGAAACACCTTCTTGGGAAATTATCACAAAAGCTCATTTCTCAGTATATATCTTGGGGAAACTTGGTGATAAACCAAATCCTCAATTACAGGAAAGCGGCTTCCTGTTTCAAAAGCACCTCACCTCCCTCACAATGCTATTTGCATTCAATGTCTGGACCACACACTGGAGCTCCTCACTGGGAAGGTTCCATCAACCGCAAAGGAGGTGCTATGGCTCAGTGGAAGAGCCTCTGCTTTGCATGCAGAAGGTCTCCCACATCTCCAGTTTAAAGGACCAGGTGATGTAGGTGATGTCTGAGTAGATGAACCAATGACTTGATGAACCAATGATCCGATTCAGCGAAAGACAGACTGAGGACAGACTGGCAGTATAAAGCGCGAGGGAGGCGGGAGGCGGAAGCATACCAGGGAGGAGGTGCGAGGGAGCTTTCACACTTTTGGCCTGCCCCTGGTGGAGGTGCAGCTGTAAGCAGCCTTTTTTCACTCCCTCGAGAGGTGCCTATGCGCATAGGCGCAGCAATGCAGCTTGTTCCCAGCTTTTAGCGTACACACTTCTAGGAAGGGGATCAATGCGCTCTCCGAGGGTCTGCTACTGCTTTCACGTGGTACTTTTTTTAAACTCAGAAGGGAATCGTCACAGAACGGGTTGAGTATGGCTGGGGAATGCCTGGCAGCTGTGGCTGTGTGAACCGACCCCTTTAATCCGTTTGTGAAACATGCCTATATCGGGCCAAACTGCCAGTCTGAACTCAACTACAATTTCATATGTGTTCTGCTTTCCTGAACAAGAGCACTTTCATAAACAATGAAATTTCACAGCAGGTCTGCTTGCTGAGGAATGATCAGGCTTATTGTGGTTGGCTTAATTGTTTGTTTGTTTTCCCAGCCAAGTGATCTAGGAATAAGGAGTCCAGCTTTTGTATTGGAGTCATTATTCTCAGATAGATCAAACAGCTCTGCAAACTGTTTACCCACAAATAGCAGCAGGAGGTTGTGGAAGCATGTGTATTAAAGAGGGAAAGATACTTACCTCTCCTTATGAAAAAGAATCACCTGATATACATTTGCCCATGGAGTGAAATGGTCCAGCTTCCTTAGAAGAAGTGAGAGGCTGAAAACATGATTCCCCCCCCCTCCTTTATGTGGTCTATTCTTCAACATTTTGCTTGTTTCTAGAACTCAGACTGGTAAATGGCACAAATCGCTGCTCTGGAAGAGTTGAGATATTCCATAACCAGCAATGGGGGACCATATGCGATGACCGCTGGGGCATGAAACAGGCTGAAGTTGTATGCAGGGAGATGGGCTGTGGTGTTGCTTTAAAAGCCCCTACAAATGCCTTTTTTGGACGGGGATCAGGGCCCATCTGGAAAGATGATGTCAACTGTGTTGGAACAGAAACTTTCCTCAGTGAATGCACATCCAGTGCTTGGGGCCTTAATAACTGTAACCACGGAGAAGATGCTGGTATTGAGTGTGCAGGTAACACATATTTTAAGTTTTATTTCCGAAAATATACTTTTAGAAACAATACCCTCTGATCAGAAAACCGTTCACTTAATTTCTTTTCTTGTATATTTGGGATGAAAATCTGCATTCACAACCTGTCTCAGAAGATTTTTGTCTATCCTTTAGTCATATAGTTGCCTTAGGAATCCCAAAAGTTAATAAGTTAAGTGGCAGAGCCAGAAAAAGGTCATTATCTGGGAACCTGGACAGTAGGGTTGCCAGACCCCCTGGTGGAGGTGGGAGTCCCAGGCTCTGCCCCCAGCTGCCCAACAGCTGGCCAGTGGGGGGACTTACCAGTAAAAAGAAGGCGTAGGCCATGCTGCCAGCATCTCACAGGAAGTGACATCATCATGCCAGCGACTTCCAGGTGACATTCTGGTATTTCGGCAAAAGTTCTATGGAAGAAGCTGGTTTTACCACACAGTTTTTGCTTAGATCCCAGAGCATCACCCAGAAGTCGCTGGCATGGTGATGCCACTTCTTGTGCAATGCCAGCAACGTGGCTTAGACCTTCTTCTTTCTACTGGTCCCTCACATCCCCTGCTGGTCTCAGGGACCTGGCAAACCTACTGGAGAGTTACTGCCAGTCTGTGCAGACAATTCTGCTGACAATCATCTGACTTGATATAGGACAGTTTTATATCTTCTTGCTATACGAGATCCTATTATATGAACCAGTGCTTTGGTAACCACGGTGTCTTTTGGGTGAAGGTGCATCTCATTATGAAGGCTGGATCAAAACCAGAACTTCTCCAGAACTTAGCACACCCTGACCAGGAGGAACTATCAGGGCCCATGGCTTCTGGTAGGGCCTGTTATGTACGGGGACTGCCACCAGGGGTCCGCGGCTAAAAGTAAGGAGCTTGGTCCCTGGACACAAAAGGGATCTAGGATCCTAGACCACCTAGTGTCCACCAATAGGACCTCTGGTGGGAAATTCAAACCCTCCAGTGGGACTGTGGGTGTGCCGGGTGGGGTGTATATAGTTGGCCCTTGCAGGGCCATTTTCTAATCTTGTTGTGAAGTACAATAAACACGTCTGAACGCGTGTCATAGTCCGAGTCCTCCATGCGGTGAACCCAGTACTTTATAGGGCCCACTGCCGCTGATTCCCTGCTCTCCTCTCATGCTTGCACTCACAGCCTTCCACTTCCTGCCTGTGGGTGCATTATCACTTGTGCTTCCAGTTGCATGTACTACCTAACACTGTTGGAGAAGGGCATGTGGTGGGTGCTGCACAAAGCACCAGCATTCCTGGTGGAGGGGGGTATGGCACTTCTTGCTGAACCCACCAGCCAGCTCCATCAGGGAAAGGGCTTGCAGGTGCTCTGGGCATCTGTTACTGCAGGTGATGGGAGAGCTTTCGAGTGGGCAGGAGGATGTTGTCCAAGCAAGTGGGGACACATAGGAAGGTGGGCGAGAGGGATATGGTAGTAGACACACAGAGGCTCTGGGCACTATCTGCCCAGTCCCCCTCCAAACCTGAAACCATTTCAAATGGGCAACTTACTCGTGGTCTGAGTCATTAGTGAAGAAGAAGAAGAGTTGGATTTATACCTCGCCCTTCACTCGGAGTCTCAGAGTGGCTCACAACCACCTTCCCTTCCTCTCCCCACAACAGACACCCTATGAGGTAGGTGAGGCTGAGAGAGCTCTGAGACAACTACTCTTGAGAGAACAGCTCTCAGAGAATTTTGACTGACCCAGGGTCACCCAGTAGCTTCATGTGAAGGAGTGGGGAATCAAACCTGGTTCCCCAGATTACCGTCCACCGCCCTTAACCACTACACCAAACTGGATCTCTTCACAGTTAGCGCATAGAGTTTCCCATCATTAGCCATGCAGATATACTGCAGTGACCTCTGCCCCTCAGTCTGGAGAGCCCAGTTTTGCAAAGGCACTGGGAAAACAGCTTATATTAGCACAAATGCAATAAGTGCTATACTATTCCTTGAAACTCTTATTTCAATGACTGTTGCCTTGTGATTTTTTTTACAGTATCTCTTTTATCATTTCAGACCCAGAAGAGATTAGGCTGGTCAATGGCTCAAGTCGGTGCTCTGGAAGGGTGGAAGTGTTTCATATGCACCAATATGGAACTGTGTGTGATGATGGCTGGGACCTGAATGATGCCACAGTGGTATGTAAGAACCTTGACTGTGGAACGCCCATATCTGCCCCACATGGAGCCCGGTTTGGGCGAGGAATGGATCCCATCTGGCTGGATGACGTGGAATGTACAGGAACAGAATCTTCCCTCTCTGACTGCAAAGCTAAGCCTTTCGGAACCAATAACTGCAACCATGGAGAAGATGCTGGTGTCGTGTGTTCAGGTAATCGATTTCGATGTGATGTTCTATAGCAGGGAAAGATAGTAAAAGGGCAAGCGGGTCATTATTTGCCAACATTCCCCTCATGTATTCCTAATCTTTGGCATCTGAACGATTTTTTTTCCAAAACTGCCCTCTGTCTAGGGTTGCCAAGTCGTATTTGCTGCTGCAGCGGGGGAGTCCCATCTCACTCCCGGTGCACGTGCGTGCAGTACGCACATCACCCGGAAGGGACGTGACGACGCCGGGCACGCTGGGGGCGGGGCCACGACCATTGGAGGGAAAACATAGAGTTTTCCCTTGGATGACCGTGGCCCCGCCCGCAGCGTGCCTGGTGTCGTCACGTCACTTCCGGGTGACGTGCATGTCGGGGTGGGGTTCCCCCCAGGGCCTGATCCGCCGGCGGCAGGGAACTGGCCTCTGGGGCAGGGGTTTCCCCGCCCCCTGGGGGGACTTGGCAAGCCTACCTCTGTCCTACATTGTCCCTGTAAAGTCTTCTCCTGACAGTGGTGGTTCAATTAAAGGAGGCAATCTGACGTCAATCAAGAGCAGACCCCCCACTCAGCTCATAGTAGGGAGACTGGCAGGTGTCTGTAAAATTGGAAGCATTTTCAGCAGCTCTGGTGGGTCCAGGTTCATGTAGCAAAGCTGTGCAGTCTGCCTTCCCTTTATACTGATGGCCAAAAAGAAATGGGCCTGCTGGCAGTCTGTTGTATGTGCCTCCAGTAATCTGATGCAAACCACGTGTTCATCATGGAGAACCACCTGTCTAACCACTCAGTCCCTATTGGTCTCTTCCAGCCGTGAGGGTCAATGGAAGACCAGGTTGGGATGAATTGCTCTGCCTTTAGCTAGTGAAACATCAGATCCCTAAAATGTTGAAAGCGATCTGTTCTCCATGAGAGTAATCCTTTTACTGCTTTATTCACAGATGATCTCAGACTGGTCAATGGCTCAAACCGCTGCAGTGGGAGAGTTGAGATTCGTCCAGCCCACAGCGATCAGTGGGGAACCATCTGTGACCGTACCTGGGACATAAATGATGCCGAAGTTGTGTGTAGGCAGCTGGGATGTGGAAAGGCCAAAGCCGCCCTAAGTGGGGCTCATTTTGGACAAGGATCAGGTTCCATCTGGATGGATGACATAAACTGCAGAGGCACAGAAGATGCTATCTCAGAATGCGGTGCAAATACGCAGGGGAACAATAACTGTCATCACGGACAAGATGCAGCAGTTGTTTGTTCAGGTAATGGGCAACGGCAATGGCATTGTTGCAAAATGGGGCTAAGGTATAATGTACCAAGGGAGGGGGCCAGGACACAGAAACAGTCTTTTGGGGATGTGATGAAGGCATAAGAGAGTAGGAAGTCCAAGACACTTACTCCTTCCCACACATGTCTTCAAAGTAGCCCTCTTAATCCCAAAGTCCTTAAAGTGACTAGCAGAGTCTCCAGTTTACAACCTGACTGATTACGCTGATGGCCAGACATGTCGACTCACAAGGCTCGCCAGACTGTGTAATTTGCGCATCATGCCTATTGTTTCCTAACTGTGCATATCAAATGATGATTACTGCATTGTCTGACCATTTGATCATGCCAGGATTTGCTCATGCTTTCCTCCAAGACAGCTGCAGAGCTTGTCAAGAAAACCTATAGCAAGCACGTCATTTGCATCTGTGACTTCCACCATTGGCTAGAACAATGGAAGGTGGAGGTAGGCTTGTTTCTCGTTTTAAAATTGACAGAACATTGCCTTCGCAGATTGTTTCCTGTGTCCGGCTCCTCAGAGCCTAGAGTCTTACTTAAAAAAATATATGAACACATGGAATCTGGGCCAGCTAGGGGTCCACACGAGGTGCCATGCCAAAACTCAGGGCAACCAAGCAATGTAGGAAGGAAGGAACCCTAGATCAAGTTGCAGTGATGGGCTTTGCAGCTGACCCAGCTGCAGAGATAAATGGGCCAACTGCATATCCAGACTCTGGGCCTCAGCTCTGTAATATCTTATATGAATGAGGCCCACATAGGCATTTTGACAGCTTGTTAATTGTGCGATAGCCCTTATATTCCAGGAGCTGTGACTGAGAAATTTCTGATTTCCATAAACTATTCATCCAGGTCATGAGCCTAGGCATAAAAGGGAGGAAATAAAGACAATATAGGCATTAAAATAAAAAATAAAAATAGTTCTTAATTTTCTTTGTCAGCTCAACATATGACACTGAGCAGGAGCATCAAAAAGGAGCAATCAGGCCTTACGGCCAAAAGCCGAATTCCCGCTTTGGGCAGGCAGGCAAGACAGAACAAAAAAGGCTGAAGTGTGGGTCCACGCACTCCAGGGTATCACCCCCACCAGCCATTTTGCTACCCCACCAGATAGAGACCAAGGGGAAAAAGCCTCCAGCCCTCCCAAGACTACAATAGTCAACCTTTTGAGGTTGTGCCTTTCAAGAAGGAGTTTCAAAGCATGTTACTTTGGCAGCTTTAGCTAATGTAGGCCAAAGTACTGGATTCAGTTTGAAGCCTCCCTAGGGTTGCCAAATCTTTTTTCGTCTGCGGCGGGGGGCTTCCGGATGGTGTCTTCTGCGCACACCGCATGCACGTCACCCAGATGTGACGTGATGACGCCGGGCATGCTGGGGGCGGGGGCACAGCCATTTGAGGGGAAAACATAGAGTTTTCTCCTCAGATGGCTGTGGCCCCGCCCCCAGTGTGCCCGGCGTCATCATGTCACCTCCGGGCAACGTGCACGCCGGGTGGGGTTTCCCCCGGGGCCCAATTCCGCGGCGGCGGAAATCGGGCCTCCAAAGCGGGGGGAAATCCGCCCCCCGGGGGGACTTGGCAGCCCTAGGCCTCACAAATTCAAGAAAACCATAAAATAAAGTTATTTATTAAAGGATTGTGCAGGGATATTCCATGAAAGGTCAGTAAACAGTGAGGATTAAAATAAGAAAGCTAGATAACCAAAGGAAGCATTTTTATGAGCACTGGTTCCAATCTAGATGTTACCTTGACACGACTGAGTCCAAGATAATTCCACAGTCTAAATCAAATGGGCCCAGCCATGCTGGTCTACCCAGAATCAAAAGCATCCCAAAGCTGCTTGTGTTGACCCAAAAGGCAAAACTAGAATAAAGGATCTTTCCTTTATGCCTCTTGAACTGCGCTGGTCTAATTTTTGCTACCCAATCAAATGTAGGCCCAAGGATATAACCTAACTGACCACTGGTGCTGCTGACCAGATGATTCATCCAATCAGGTAGGACTGGCCACTAGTCTCTGGCACTCTGCAGCTGTATCATATCCAATTAAGCAAGCATCACAAATCTTTGCATGAACAAGATGGAAAGTGTAGGCCCACTTTGGCATCCTTGAAACTACTAGAATAGATGAAGCACCCAACAACTTCTGAATACTTCCCATACCCCTTATTTCTCCCTCTGAGCCACAAGCAGTTCAACCTTGATTTCCCAGGAACAAAAACTTTCCATTTTATTTCCAGGCCTCATTCTGAACCACTGTTTGAATTTTGAACAAGAGACTATGAAATTGGCCTAGTCTCTTAAAAAATAGGGTTCCATTCCCCCCCCCCGGTGGGGCCAGGGGATCCCCTGATTTCAGAGGCCCCAATCCACTGCTGGAAGCCCCATCCCTGAACAGCAGCATCCCATGGGGATGCTGCCAACGCAATGATGTCACCATACTGGGGCCGTCACACAGTGACACTCTGGCATTCGGGGAAAACTCTATGGTTACCATAAAGGTTTTTTAAAAAACTGTCAATCTGCATGCAAGATCTTGTTGGTATCTAAAAAGCATATCCATTATTGAGAACTATAGTGGGAAATTTAGAAGAGTTTTGGACTGAACACTCCATTGGGTCAGGTGGGCCATACTCATGATCCTCTAAATATCGATTAAAGGGCTGCACGTCAGAGGGCTTAAGAATTTTGGAGGGTACCGAGTAGCTACTATAGTGTGGGAACCAGGCTCTTCCCTTGCAAATAGTGTTGCATTTTTTTATTCTTTTACATGTTTTTGTGAAGATTGGCAGTCAAAGAGGACCTGGCCAGGCTTAGCATCTGTTGGAATTGCTAGAGGCGGAGAGATAGAAGGAAAAGAAGTTTCCTTGGCCCTCAGCTTCAAAAGTGTTGTCCTTAATTGTGCCAGTCTGTTGGTGATAGCCAGTTGCTTGGAATCAGGGAGGGCTTTAAAAGAATGAATTAGGTCTTCCTCAACAGAATGGAAAGATATAGGAGTCCCTGATTGGGTCTGTGAAAGAATGGCTGGGCAATCTTCCCAGCTGATCATTAACAGGTACCTTGTCTAACTTTCCATTGGAATTCTTGGAAGACAGAACTGGACTGTCAACCCTAGAAACTCTTTGGGCACAGAGGGGGGTACACGAGGTATTGTTGAAGACTCACACTGGGTGAATACCTTTAGAATTTAAAAACCTCTTTCTCTGAAAAATCTGAAAGGTGAAAACTGAATGTTCAAAGGTCAGCAAAAAACCTACTTGGTCAGAAGTACTGTAAAGAGGTCCTAATTCTTTTAAGTCAGATATTTTAAACTTATGTCCCAGCAATGACCTCAGGTACTTCCCTGCTCTAGTTTTAGAGTACCACAAAGTAGCAGACCCAAAGAATGAGTAAATACATAAACAGACTTGATGGGGCTGGTGAATAAGCTGTTGGGAGCTCCCCCCTAGGTTAGAGCAATTTTTAGACATCCCTTGGGAGACCTTAATATGTTTAATGAGGCTCCTTTGGATAGTGAAGGGCAGGGTATAAATCCAATCTCCTCCTCCTCTTCTTCATCTTCTTCTTCTTCTTCTAATATTGGGGTCAGACAGATTCTGAGAAAAAGAATTTAAAACAGAGCTCAATGCCTTGAAAGTTGAAATAAGACTAATTTTGACAGCACTAACTTCAGATTTTCAAAAAAATACTCCATTGTTCTAGAGAACATGAGGACAATCTCTGCCACCTTTTTGGCCTGCTCTACTTCAGGTTTGTCTAGATGATCAGAATTCCTGCAAGAGTCTATGTGACCAGTAGCTGGAGGCTTATCAGGAGGGGCAATAACGGAGTGATTAAAAACAAAATTGGAAGAGCCATCCAACAGGGGGTCATCAGCACCCAAAGGGTTAACAGGCACAAAAAAGAGAGAGTTAATTTTGCTCTGCTTAGATATAGGGGGAGATAACAAATCTACTGCAGCTGTATCATATCCAATTAAGCAAGCATCACAAATCTTTGCATTAACAAGATGGAAAGTGTAGGCCCACTTTGGCATCCTTGAAACTACTAGAATAGATGAAGCACCCAACAACTTCTGAATACTTCCCATACCCCTTATTTCTCCCTCTGAGCCACAAGCAGTTCAACCTTGATTTCCCAGGAACAAAAACTTTCCATTTTATTTCCAGGCCTCATTCTGAACCACTGTTTGAATTTTGAACAAGAGACTATGAAATTGGCCTAGTCTCTTAAAAAATAGGGTGCTTAGACACTTCCGGGTCATTTGAGTCCCCATAACTTCACCCCAAACTCACTAAAAAAAGAAGAAGTGGTACTGGATATGTCAGGTAAAAACTGAATACTCCTTAAAAGCCCCTCAGTTAGAAAAAAAGCACACTTAAATAATTAGAAAAACACAATAATTAAAAAAGGCACAAAGATAACAGTATCTTGTGGATTTCCTAGGAGCCTGTGTCTGTCCAATTTAGCCCAGGACTGTGCTATTGATGTAGATCCATCTAATGTTCTGGTTCCTTGCAGAACAACTAGTCCTTTAGTTACTTGTTATTCCTTTGTCTTGTTAACCAAACAGTATTAGTACAGTCAAATGAGGTATTTCATGTGTATAAAAACTGGGAGTGGCTAATTAACAGGATTGCAGAATTGCAGTTTATGTAGACTCTTTTCAGAGAGATGAGTAAGCTTCCAAAGGCTTCCAAGGTTCTCCGACAAGTTGGGCTCTATGCTCTTAAATTCATTCCACAGCTTAACAGACTCTCAGAAGGACAAACACAGCAAAGGGCATGAAGGCAAAATAAACCAGATAAGCTCACAGATACATGCTGGCCAATCAATGGCATCTAGTCAGAGGTTTCATATGAGGTTGTCCTTTTTTGCCTTAGCAGCAAAGAAAATTCGAGCCAAGCTAGTGTCAGTATAGTCCAGTCTTTGAGAGGTTTCCCCATTGTTTTTTTTTTTTACAAAATAAGTTTTAAAATGTAGCTTTTATTGTGTCTTAATCTAATTTTACTGTATTGTATTTATTGTATATTATTTTCTACCACTTGTAACAGCCATTGGCCCTATGCAATAAAACTGAACTGAACCATAGAGTTTTTGCCCCGAATGCCAGAGCGTCACCACTCAATGACCCTAGCGTGATGATGTCACTATTGGTGCCATCACCATGCTGCACACGCAGACGGTGAATCCCAGCAAGGAGCCCTCCACTGCAGGAAAAATGAGACCTGGCAACCCTACTGGAAAAGGAGGAAGTGCATTATGCTTTCCTAGGGTTGCCAGTTCCTTATGCTTTACTAGGGTTGCAATGTCGTGGCAACCCTCTGGTGTTTGGGCAAAACTCTATGGTTAAAATGGCCTCTACCATACAGATTTTACCCAAATACCAGAATGTCACCTGGATGTCACCCAGATGTCACCAATGTGATGATGTCACTTCTTGTGCACACTAGAAGTGACATCGCCACATTGCTGCCAACACAGCCACTCCCTCCCTGTCTCTCCTGATAAATCCTCTGCCAGCCAGCCGATTGGCAGGTGGCAGGACCTGGCAGCAGGGGACCCCTGCCTCCACTGGGGCTGGCAGGCAGGCAACCGTATGTTTTCTCAGCTTTAATTTGATCTTTAGGACCATCAGGATTAGGAATGGGTCAGACTGTCCTTTTGAACTTTCAAAAGATGGAAGCTAGACAGCTCTCCCTGTAGCCAGAATGGATGGGGGTGTCTCCAACCCTGTAATTCTTTTAATGAATAATGCTATTTCTGTCTTCTTTGCAGACAAATCCATCACTAATGTGGCTAACGTCAGACTGACAGATGGCCCAAATTCCTGTGCTGGGAGAATTGAGGTGTTCCACCAGCAACAGTGGGGGACTGTGTGTGATGATGGATGGGACCTGAATGATGCCAGTGTTGTGTGCAAGCAACTGAATTGTGGCATTGCCTTGGAAGCCCCACATGCAGCACGCTTTGGGCGTGGACCTGATCGCATCTGGCTGGATGATGTGAACTGCACAGGGTCAGAAGATTCCCTCAAAGACTGTGGAGGACGTTCTGTAGGAGAGCACAATTGTGGCCACTCTGAGGATGCAAGTGTGATATGCTCAGGTATGATGGACCCCTGCTCCTTCTCTTCCATGAGGCAGATTTTCTCGCCAGAACACTGTTCACACCTCTGACTGAGCAACCTCTTAGAAGCGTGTTTGAATTATAAACTTATAACTTTCTTTGTGTCCCACCCAGTTTTAAAGAAGTTATTTGGCTTTTGCCCAGACCAGATTTTATTGTAACTCAGCAGGAGCCCTCTTATATGACCCTTTGGAAATGGCACTTGACATGAAGCAAAGTTGAACCAAAAAGGTTGATTTTTATTGAACAGGCACAGTGAGATCAGGAATAGGGCAGGGGACGATGAGCTGAGGTAATTGTAGTTCTTTAATAGAAAATTAGGCTCTCTTGAACAGGCAACAGAGTATAATTGAAGCTTACATTCTAAGAGATTCAGTTCTTTACTGTGAGAGATTGGTTTCTTGTAGATTTCTTTAGTAAAGGTTCATAAGAATATCTTAGTTTCCTGGATGTTAGAACCTTCTTCCTGTGTATCATTACTTCCCTTTTAGAATTATAACTTTCCCTTTCTGTACTCTTGAGGAGTTTAAGACTGTTTGCCTTTTCACTTCTCAAACCAGAGGTCCGTTATGAGTTGAACCCTCTGAATAACTGGGGCCTCGGTCACACGAGCCAGATAATGCGGGGGGGGGGGAGGTTTGGCTCTTTGCACCAGCACAATTACACCCGCCAGAACATGATCATATGCAACAGCGGCACACCACGGTTTCATCTGTCAGCGTGTGCGCGTCAATGAGGACAGCCAGGGGGAAAGCCATGCACCGGTGCGATCACACGGAACGATTCTGTCGGCAGCCTGTGGCAAACCATTTGCTAGTACATTTGTTGAGATATTTTTTAACTGCGCAGCTTCGGCGGCACATCACGAGTTGGCCACGGTGCGCTACGCTTGCCAGATGCTGCGGTGTGATCATGCCCTGAAAATCCGCTGAGCATTCGTGGCTCTCCCTGGTTTTTGAGGATCAAGAAACTGCGGAGGGAATCGGGCGAAGCCGCGGGTCAAATGCAGCCCCGCAGCCTCGGGTGTGAAATTGACATGTTTGTGTTGGAGCAAATGGCGGCTGCGCTGCAAGGCAGCTCTAGTGAGAAATTGCCCTCAGTGTGTGAACGGGGCCTGGGTAAGGAATATCCTCCTTTTCCTAGAAGTGAAAACCCTTTTCTGTTTGGTTAGGCTGGCAGTTTTCCACCAACTGTCCCCCTCTTCCCACAAACCTAAGCCCCTGTTCTGGAGACAATGAATCAATGGAATTCAGATAGTGCTGATACTTAGACATTTAGTTCTGCTTTCTGAACTTTCCCCCCAAATGTGTTGGTGTACAGTAAAGGCTAGGAGTTGTGTCCTTTCACTTCTCAAGAGACTTGTCTGTTTCCCTCAGACTCAGAGGTCATTTCGGGGGGGATCAGCGGGGATCGCAGTGCCCCCCGGGTGAGGTACGGGGGCGGGGCACATGACGAAGCCCCGCCCCCTGCTTCCAGCTGCCCCGCTTCCAGCCCTCATTCAGCCAGGAGGAGGCAGGAGAAGAGGAAGGGTAAGTTGCTTCCTCCCTGCCTCTCCCCACCCCTGCCTGCCTGGGGCCAGGGAGGGCCTTCGCGGGGCTTCCTTGCACTCCCGCCGGCCTTGCAGGTCCACTGCTGGGCCCCTCATGGGGCTCGGCAGTGGAGCTGCAAGGCCGGCGGCGGCGGCCGGGACCGTTGGGGGCGGGGTGTGTGGCCTTATGACACACCTCCGGTGATGTCAGGGGTGTGGCATATGGTAATGAGTTATGCTAATGAGTTCCCCTAGCTCTTTTTCTATGAAATGACCCCTGCTCGGACTGACACACACACACTCCTCCTGACTGGCTATTGCAAAGCCAAAGTCCAAATGAGGACTGACTCCCTCTGACAAGACTGACTATACTTTTGAAAGCTTTCCTCAGCTAGCGTTGACCAATCAGAGAGAAAGGGGTGCATGCAGGCAGCAGCCTGTCACTCAAACTGTGCTTTAGAGTGAGGCATTAACCCCTAATCTTCCCGCTCTCTGAGTCTAATGTCCTAAGCATGCTGCTTTTGGAGGTCAGTTCGTCGCATCAGGTAACTCAGGGTGAATGACACATGATAAAAGTGAGCAAAAGAGTTCCTTTTTAGAAAGTATTTGAGTTGAAAAAAGCAGAGCAAATATATACCCCTTTTTACCCTCATTAATGTTATGCTCAGAATTCACCCTCGGGTACTCCTATCCTCCTCAATGAATCAAGCACTAAGCACAAATCTGGAACTCTGCAGCAGAAGAATCATCTTGGGGGTAACTATGAGGAGGAAACAGGCCAATAATTAAGTACATCTTCTTGTAATCACTCTGCTCAAGTTTTCCCCTTCGAAACCTGTTTTCCATGACAGAAAAATGGTGGAGCATTCCCATGTGACAGTGTCTCTGGGAGGATGCCAATAGTAATTTCCACACAACCAGCACAGTGGGTTGGCTGAAGTGGCATGCAGAAGGCTAACTCCTGGTCTTGTAAGTTGGTAGGTAGTTCTCCAAATGGGACTTCTGTATGGCACTTGAACTGCCCTGTTTGGTACTGGCAGAACCTTCTAAGATAAGTTATTCAACCTGTCAACGTGGAGAGGTAAAAATACCTTTTCTCAGTTTAGATACATCCCTAACTTTTATTTTATCCACCAGTTCAGTTCACTTGTCCAGAAGAACAACACCTGCAGCCTTCCCAAGGGCATCTCTATCATTGTCATGGATTCTCCCACAGCCCAGTGGGAATTGTCTCCACTAGTGGCCACTCTATTTGGCTGCATCAGAGGGAAGAGGCAAAACCAGTACAGTGTTCTCCATTTCCTCAGCATTACAGAGCAACTTCTGTTTGGTTCCTTCCCTTCCCAAACAATCTCTAGCAGTATGTTGTCGAAGGCTTTCACTGCCGGAGTCATAAGTTGCTGTAGATTTTCTGGGTTGTGTAGCACTGTAGGACCTGACGCTTCACCAGTAGCTGTGACTGGCATCCTCAGAGGTTTAACACAGAAAGATGGAGTACTCTCTGTGTCAAGGTTAGATCTAGCAGCCTTATTATATAACATTATGAAGGGGTTGATAACCGTAAATTTGCTTGCCATTATCTTCCCCACCTCTTGCCTTTCCTATTATACTTCTTAGCCATATTTTTTTTTCACTTTGAGTAATTAGGTGAACAGTGATTTTATTTAGTAAGCAAGTATATTGTAGCTCTGTCAAAGGATTAGTTTTTTTTAAATGTATTTTTTATTATTGAAGCTTATATACATTATCTTACATTAAATCATTATACAATCATTTTACCCCCTCCCCCCTCCTTGTAGTATCTTCATATTTTTAACCATGTGCACAGATTCTTCATTTGTATTTGGATATTTGGATGGGCTTCCCCCCTTTCCACCCATTCCTTATATCCCACCCATTTATTTGTAATCTTTTGACATTTCTTCTCCCATGTCTCTTCAGTAATTATCTGTGTGAATATATCTGATAATACGTGTTCAAAGACATAATTATTCCATTTCTCCATTGTCAACTTATGCCTATCCCTCCATCCCAATGCTATTACAGCCATCCCGGCTAAAACCATAATTTTATATAACTCCCATTTATTTATTTCCACTTTTTTGTTTCCCAATATTCCAGAAATAAGCAAATCCCTGTTAATCTCTACATTAACTTGAAATAAATCAAAGATAACCCTTACAATCTTTTGCCAAAATTCCTTAACCACTTTACATTCCCACCACATATGGGCATATAGACCTACTTCTTGGCCACAGTGCCAACACTTTGGATTCATTCCTTTAATCATGTACGCTATCTGAGCCGGAGTTCTATACCCTTTCTGTCAAAGGATTAGTGATCTCTAACAGAATCTCCTTTTCTTCTTAATTTCAACCTCTCCTCAATGTGTATTTCCCTATGAAACATCTGATTAAACCTCTGCAAAACAAATCCAACATATCTGCATTTGCTCACCATTCTTAAATTACCCTTTGCTTCCCCCTTCTTCCCATACCTTCTCTTTGTTGGTTTTCTCTGCCACTGTCAAATATTACATTATAAACTCCATTATCAGAGACCTTTATATATTTATCAAGCCATGTACATTGATGATACTTTATTAATAATGTAAAAGCACTGATTTATACAAATAATAGTGATCATGTATCAGTACTCTCACAAAACTATAATCTCACACCTAGTTCACGTATGGGTTCATGCTGTGCTTTCTCAGTGATCAGGAGTAACTTTGAGTACTTTGCCCATACTCACAGCCACTCTCTTGTTTCACATGTTTCTATGCCGTTAAACTAAGGAAATGAGAATAATGGCATATATCAGCATGAAATTATACACTGGCAGTTTACTGCTGGAACTGGAAAGAGATTTCCCATTCCTGAGATAACAGATGAGCGTTGAACACTTTAAAGCAACACATACATGATTATTTTCTTTATTACATATATTCCAGAGGTAGGTGATGAGTGGGGGTTCTTTTGGATTGAATTGGGTTGGATTTTGGATTGGGTCCAAGTGAATATGTCTTGGACAGGGTCCATGTGTTGCATAATCTGGGAACATCATGTGTCTCCCTTCCCCTTTGTTTTCCAGGTCTTTTCCAGGTGCGATTGGCTAGTGGCCCTAATTCCTGTGCTGGGCGGCTAGAGCTGGAGTATAATGGCTCCTGGGTTTCTGTTGGTGACTCTGGCTGGGGTCTTCCAGAGGCCACGGTGGTATGCCGGCTCCTGGGCTGTGGAGCAGCAGTGTCAGCACCAGTGGGCAACACGTATGGCATGCCTATAGGGGCAGCTGTGTTGGATAATGTGAAGTGTACTGGACAAGAGTCATCCCTCACTGAATGCCAAGCTACACCCACCGGTCCCAACAAGTGTGTCTGTGGTTCCTATGCTGGAGCAGTGTGTGAAGGAAAAACAGGTACCTGTGTGATTTGGCCCATTTTCTTAAGGGCATTTACAGGCTGGGGAGCAAACGAAGAGTAGTTAATAGCCGTGTGCTACTGACAATTGAGTTAGAGGACAAGTAAACAGATGGGATTGGAGGTTTAATGGGGTCTTAGTGGTAATTTGGAATACCAGCTGCTATGAGAAGAGAGCAAGCAGGGATGTAAAGAGCTGTGGTGTACTGGGTCATGCTACTGGTCGGCTTCTCTCCTAGTGCTTAACTATGGGGAGTATTCCTGCTTATTGTTTGACAAAGAAATCCGCATGCTGCACTGCCAGATCCTCTAACTCTAAAAATCAAAGATAAATGAATGCAAAGCAGATGGAGGGAAAAAAATAGAAAAAGCGAGTTATTTTCCACGGTGTACCATACAGACTGAGCCCCATTCAAGGGCCACTAAAAGCATGTCAGAAAAACTCTGCTTTAAAGAGCTTCTGGGATCTTTGCAAGGTTGGGCCCTTCCTCCCGTCCTTGGTGGGAATAGTTCATAGAACAGACGCAGCTACTAAAAAAAGCCCAAACAGAAATACTTCCTGAGTGAAGAAATAGACAATAATCCCTGGTTTGATGATCAGAACTCCTGTACGTGTGGAGATTGTCCCATGTCCCGAAGTGCCCTTTGAATTGAACAGTTAAGCAAACTGGCAGCAGGTGCAATGATCTTAAACTCAGAGTAATATGTGTGGAATGCTTAGCCACAGTCAACAATTTAGCATTCTGCACTATCTGAAGCTTCCATGCTGTTTTCAAGGCCAGCTTCATGCACAGTGTATTACAATAGACCAGTCTCAAGGTTAAGGTGGGCAGCATAATTCCCTCCAGAAACTTAACCCTGCCAAACGGCATCCCCTCTGTCCTGTCAAGATTAATCTGCAGCAAGTTGTCCTTCGGCCACTTGACCATGGCTTCTGCCCTGCTGGCACTCTTGGCTTTAAGAAGGTGACACATAGTTGCTGCCTGCAGCTTCCTTGGATAAATATATTACTCTGCTTTCAATACTCCAAATACTAGTTGGGAGTCCCCTCTTTGGCTGCAGCTCTGGTAGGTCTCACAAAAGTTAGGGGAGTGAATACCTCTTCCGCCCTATGTCACTCTCTGAATCTCATTTCTTTCCCCACAGGTTCTTCTGTAATTATTGCTGTGATTCTGGTACTGGCAGCTGTTGCCCTGCTTCTTGGTTTGTCCTTTTTTTACCTGCGAAAAAAGAGGAGGGGAAGATCATTTGGGGCATTCCCCTTTCCTCGTAGACATGGTAAGGAAGACAGATGACTTTTGTGCTCATTATCACACCTGTCTTGGTATCCAAAAGCCTTCCTATGCTTACCAGGATGGTTTTCACACAGAAACAGGCTTGTGTGTTTTCTCTGTTGACAGTGCAAGTGCTGATACAATGCAACAGCAACAGGGCTTCCGCATGGCATGTTTCCCCACAGTTTCCCTTCCCCAGACTCCCAGCAGCCACCATCCCCCCTCCCCTGGGCTTTCACTATTTTTAATAATCAATATCCTATCATCTTTCATTTAAAAAAGTCTAGTCCCTTTCAGAGATATAAGGTGAAAGGCATATCTCCACAATGGAAGGAACTAGCGAAACGACTGAAGGTATGTTGCTATGATGACATGAAATTAATGTTTTTTAAAAAAAATTGGTGGGGAGAAAAAATGGCTGCTGCGATCAGGGTCACCGAAAATGGCTGCCATGTGGGTGACAAAACTCAACCTTTCCCACCCACATGGCAACCATCCCAACTTTTCTGAGATTTCCCCCCAAACATTTGCCGCAAAACAAGTTTGAGAAAGATAAGAGAAAAGCCAGGGAAATCCTGGGAGGAGTATGCAGGTATCACAGTACTGTGGGAAACCAGGAAAAAAACCTTGCTTTTCAACAGCATTGAACTCAGACGGAGAACCAGTGTGGAAATGGCCCAGATTTTTTGCTAGAAAGAAGTTTGTTCCGTCCTGTCACAAGACCATGTCCTACCCCAATCTTAACCCTTCCCTGATTTTATATAATACCTAAATCAGTACCTCCTAAAAGAGTCTTGTTGGAGGAACAGCCACTTAAGTTAGAGGAAGATTACGTAGGATGGAGAGACACCCCAGTGGGAGCACTTAAGGTACTCTGTGTCCTTAGATCAGAGCAAGGCTTCACACTTGAGGCAAAAGGAAAGTATAAATATTTTAATAATAAAAAAACACACCTTTACTCAATGGAGTGGTAGGACCCATTGTTAGGACTTTCTGCTAGTGCTGAAACTCTGGAACTCCCTCTCCCCATAAGTTTACAAAGCACAAAACCTGATATATTTTAAGAGATAGGTAAGAATACTTTTATTTTCCCAGGCTTTGAGATGAATATTTTCCTTTTTCAAAGTTTTACTTTTGCTCCCTCCTACTGTACTGTTTTTAGTACTATGCCCTAAAGTTTGGGTTTTTTTTTTTTACAATTTTATTATTTTTCAATAACAATAACAACACCAAATAATAATAAATAACAACAATAGTTCCAAGTTTCACAACTGGTTCAATAAAGCAAGTGTTTTCCAGAATAAAAAAAAATAGAACATTTAGATCATACTATAACCTCATAAATGCGTAACTGTTGTGCAAGTTTTATTTTATTTATTTATCCTTCAATTAAAATAACTCTTACAGTCCAGTCGTTCTAATACAGGCCACCACTTGTCAATAAAGTCTTGATATGCCGAATAAGGGTCTAATTGTGAGACACCCTTGCAAACCATTGATCAATCAGGTTTTGTTTTTTTTTAAAGTATTTCAAACTGATGCCTAGTGGTATTTTTTCTGTTTTCAATCTAAGCATCTGTGAAAGAGGAAAATATTAATGATGTTCCATTTTCATCTGGGCAGGAATGGAAAGTTCCTTCCAGCCAAACATAACACATTTCCAGTGACCTACCCTGTTTCCCCGAAAATAAGACCTACCCCAAAAATAAGCCCTAGCAGGATTTCTATGCATTTGTGGTATAAGCCCTAGTGTGTCTTCTTGAGAAAAAATAAATATAAGACAGTGTCTTATTTTCGGGAAAACACAGTAGTAACCTGGAGCAAGAAAAGAACCCTTGGACACCACTGAGGTCAACTTAGATATGAGCAAAGTCAGTATTTACATGTCAGGGCCCTAGTCTTCAAATGAGATTTTCGAAACAACTTGACAAAACCTATAATGACAATTAAAGAAAACAATATAAAACTGTCTATATTTGCATTTCATTGTTTTGTGACTGGAGTCCTACTCACTAGGTCAGTGGCTAAAAACACTTTCTTTTTCCTGCAGATGTATTTAGGCAAGACATTGCAATTGGGTCCCGTACAGTAAATGGCACTCCAGAAATATATACCCATGGAGGAGAACAAGCTGCACATGAGATGGATTGTGACACTGCCCGCTTAGTGAAAGAAGACTCTGTCCCTTCCCCAGACCGCATTAACTGAGAGGCAGGGGAGGAGGGCTGGACTCCAGCGCTGGCAAGATCCACCAGGAGATAGTTCGCTCAGCATTCTCAGTCACAGAGGGAGATCATATAAACCTATTGTACAGTTAGTGCAAATATTCAAAGACTGAGTATATTTTGATAGGATTCGTGGGATGTCCTAGCTTCTGGGAGCACACAGACAGGACAATCAAGAGAAACAGAAACCTTGATGATGATGCCTACCTTTTTTTTTTTTGAGAATGGAGCTTTGGAGGGTGTGTTTGGAAATGGTTACTTTCCTTATTGATCGCTACACTCAGTGATGGTCTGATCTTACCTGTTGTAACCAGTAGAGAACATGCTCTTCTCCCCTAGTAAACAGGAGGTCCTTTTACATATGCCAAACATATCTTCTGAGACTAGAAGGCAAGGTAAATCTGATTTACCTGGGAAATGGAACTTCCTCTTATCTCCTATTCATTTTTCTGCCTTGGTCTGGAAAACGGAGTTCCTTAGAGCTGTCCCAGAACTCAACCAAACCAAAACAAGATAATAAAAGACCAGGAGGCAAGGAGCCATTTTTACCTCAGCAGAAGGGATTTTGATGGGGTTTCAGTTGCAGGCATTCTCTTGGCAAGGCATATGGGGTTTTATTGTATAATGTATGTTTTTAATATCTGGAATTGTGAGCCACCTTGAGTCACAAGGGAAAAGTGGGGTATAAATATTTAAATAAATAAATGGAGAGACACAACAGATGACCAACCATTCCTCCTCCATTCCTTGCTCCCTCCAAACCTAGTCAAAAGAGATTGACCAAGAGCTTGAACTCTTGGTGACTGCCTCTGAGGCACTGTCCTAACATGGAAGAGAACAATTCCCTCAGCAACTATCACCAATGCAGTGATGCATAAGAAAGTGTTCTGAATAAAGGCCATTCCAAACAGAGGAGTGATAGTGGGAAGTTCCTCCTGTGTTCACCAAGTACCCTTTTTTTCAAGGGGAGGAGCCACCTGTTACATATGCCTTTTTCTCAGTACAATCTACAGAGACCCAACACAACTGGTTTTTGAGGGGCAAACTGTCCACCTGAACTTTATGCAGTGATTTACAACCACTTTTGACGTTAGATTTTTGATAGCAAGACATTCAGGAAGAGCTCAGTCAAACAATAGCCCTACATCCTACCAACAATCATGGCCTGGTCATTTTATCCACCCCTTGTTGTATGTTTATGGCAGAGAACAAGATAGGTGCTATGAACAGGGCAGCCAATACCCCACTCTCAGGGATCTCCAGGAGTCTCTTGGCAGAACCTACACTTACTCTCGCCACAGTGAGATTTGGGTGTCTCTCATACATTGCCCTTTCATCTTCACCAGATAACAGCCTCCTGCAATAGCTCCACCCTTATATCATCAGTCAGAGCATAGAAATCAACCAAATCTCCAAATCAACAAAACTAAGCAGCATTGAATAGTTCCCATGGTACATCTCCCTTTAAACCCAAGAAAAACCCAGAGGCAGCCTGCATCAGGATTAAAGAGAGATGAATGTCTCTTCCCTTGTACAGTGAGTCCTGTCTTCCCCACAGACTCTTCCTATGCTTTCCCTTCAGGTTCCTAAATAGGTAAGAAGAAGAATGGTCATCAGAAGAAGAGAAACCATGCTGTGAACCTTAGGACTGAGGGAAACCACAGACACTCTCTAACTAAGGGGGGTGGTCATACACATGAGATACAGTGTGAGGGGGAAGCAAGGCTATTTCCTCTGGGAGAATTTGACCCACAGTTGCATGATCACACCTCCCTTTGAAGCTGTGGGAACAGCCGGTCAGTGCATGATCAGATGCAACTGCGGGTGAGTCAGGGTTTTTTGTGCTGGTTTTTCCTCATGCGCTTAACCGAGGGATCGATGAATCGCATCTCCGCACTGAGGGCTCCCTATGGAGTTTGCAATGATGTGCATACTGTGAAGGGGGAAAAACAATGGCAGGGAGTCGGGATGGCCTGATCAGACCATCCCGATGCCATGAGAGCACACTGGAGCGATCAGACACGGGAAAGTCCATCCGTGGCCCGTCGCAACCCATTTACTACCAGATTTCCCCAGATTTAACTCCACTTCTGCGGTGGAGCAGAATGGTTTGCCGATGGCTGCGGGGCACTTCCCAGATGTTGTTGTCTGTGTCCTTTAAATCTGCCCAGGATTAGCCCCTATGCTGGCTCTAATTGTGCGTATGATCGCGCCCTAAGACATGTTGCCATACTACCCTAAGTCCTCTTAACCAACAAGATCCGGCTTAAAATTCAGTCATTCTAAAATCTATTCCCCACACTTTCAAGTTATATTACTTGCTGCCTGTTCCCGCAACATCACAGCCAACTTAAAAGTGCCAAAGATGAACACAGCTATAGCAATACTTTTTGCCATTACGTCTGATGAGAATGCCAGCAAACCGGAACAATATAAGGGCAATCTCAGTACACTGAAAACGCTATGAATTTTTGGTTGTGGTCACACAAACAAGACAAATCAGGGGGGGAAGCGAGGCTATTTCCTCCAGAGGAAATTGACCCGCAGTTGCACGGTCACATCGTTCTTGGAAGCTGCGGGCACAGCTCGCCACTGCATGATCAGACACAATCACGGTGAGTTGGGGTTTTTTTGGGGGGGGGGTTGTTTGTTTCCGATGCACTTAAACAAGGAATTGATGAATCGCATCTCTGCACTGAGGACTCCCTATGGAGTGTGCGATGATGCGCATACTGAGAAGGGTGGGAACAAACAATGGCGTGGAGTCAGGATGGCCTGGTCAGACCATCCCAATGCCATGAGAGCGCACTGGAGCAATCAGACAGGGGAAAGTTCATCCATGGCCCATCACAACCCATTCACTACCAGATTTCCCCCAGTGTCTTTTAACTCCGCTTCTGTGGTGGAGAACAGGTTGCTAATGGCTGTGGGGCACTTCCCAGATGTTGCCTGATCGCACCCTTTAAATCTACCCGTCATTTGCGCCTATGGCAGGTCTAATTGTGCGTACGATCACAGCCTTTGGGTAGTACCATGCAATGCTCCCTCTAAGCTGTGGAGATTCCACTTTGTGAGCGACTGGCATTGAAGTTGTGAGCAAGCAATTTGGCTACTGCATGAATTAGTTTGCTCTGGAGACATCCTTCCTGAGCTAAGACAAAAATGTGTGAGCCAGAGGCTAAAAAACTGTGAGCTAGCTCATACTAACTCGGCTTAAAGGGAACATTGGTACCATGGTCTCCTCAGTTGCCTCCTCGGTCTTTGCGATAGCAGCCTTCATGTGGGCCAATGGGTTAGCTTCCACCAATGATACATGGAGACATATGAGAGATGCCCTCAAGAAAGTATTGCTGATGGCATTCTTCCTAGCAGATAGTTCACTTGATGCCATGCAGATGGAAGCCAGACTCCTATCCTCAAACACTGTTTCAAGACATAATAACTGGCTCCAGCACTGGGACATGGAATTGCACCACAAAACAAACCTTTTCAAGTTAGATGTTTTTGAGGAGACTCTCGAATTAGCATGGATAGAAGCAGCCCTCCCACCCCAACCCCTCAAAAGATGACAGGGCGTCATCAAAACCTACCCACTTCTTATTGGCCTATCATCCATCTCAGGACTACTGCGGCTGAACTAGGAACAAGGCAAGGTGGCCAACCTCTAACAAACCATACAGACATTTCCCAAAATCAGTTCTGTATTTTTTCCCCATTTAGGGCCCTTATGTTGCCTTCTGACATTGTGGGAAGAAAGGGGAGGTAGGTGTAACCTCTCAGGCAAATAGGGTTTCAAAGTCCATCTTCCACCCCCAGCGGGGGTCTTTGGGGGCATTCCTGGAGGGGGTGGGGCATCCCCAACATGATGACGTCAAGTTGGGAACGTCTGCTGCCCCCCCCACCCGCCCGTGCGCCGGATTTCCAGAAACAGCAGTTCCCTGCACTTAAAGTAGCCAGCAGCTGGCATTTCCCCTTTAAGAGAAGCTGTGTTTCCCTTTTAAGAACGAAGCTGGCTTTTCCCTGCAAGCTTGCAGAGTTCACGCTTGGGATGAAACACGGGTTGCACACCCTTAAAGGGAGAGAGATGGGTGGCTGTGGATGTTGGGGGTGGGGCTTCCCCCGCCGGCCATCTGGCCAGCTGCAGGTAGACCCCCCCAAAATGGGGGACCCCTGGCAAGCCGGGGGGGGGGGATGGCAACCCTACAGGCAAATCAGCTTTGCTGCCCCTTCCAGTCCAACAGTAACCCTGTATTGAATGACCTTCTATCTATGAGAGGAACAGAAATTCACCAAATTAACGTTTACCCCACAGGAAAGAACAAGGCTGGGAGACTGTGCCTCCTCCTGCTGTTCTAATTCATATGCAAGCATGTTTTTCAACACCAACATCTTACAGGTTTCAATGTCTTTCACCATCTAACCCAGGATAGATTCAGGTGGGTAGTCATGTTAGTCTAAAGTGGCAGAACAAAATTTGAGTACAGTGGCACCTCTAAGACCATCACAATTTTATTCAAGGTATTGTCAAGATCCACAGCAAGACAACGAAGTACACGCTTCCAAGAAGGTTTTACTTTATTGAAAAGCCATAGACGCAGTAACATGAACACTGTTAGGAATGGCGGGTAAACTATGTGCCTAATAGGATATAGGGCATTCGTATGCGGGGGCCCCCAGTACTACCCAATTAGATGAGCTCCCGCACGCAGGCATTTGGCCGATTCTGTAACGGCCGCCAAGCTGGGAAAGTAAAAAGCTCCCACGAAAGCTAGACGCTACCAACTCCTCCAGTGGCCTTGAAAGATACGCGTTACAGCTTTGAAGCACTTAAGCGCATGGGAAGGAATGCAAAGCAATTAGAAACATACACCACACTCATGGCAGCTTCAGCTGACAGGTATAAGCTTTTGTGTGCATGCCCACTTCTTCAGATACAGTGAAACAAAACTTCCTCAACAATTATCATGCCGTGATCACATGTCACAATGCTACCAATGAAAACTCTAACATTAGATAGCTGATGGGTAACAACAGATTCCCAGGCTTTCGCTGAAAGAGGTTTTTAACTTTTTTTTTTTTTAATAGCAGTCTCCTAGAAGGGACACAAATCCTTCTTTTCAGTAGGCTTTTCCTTCCTAAATAAAACAAAATGTGGTTGAATTAACATGAAAAGTGGGAAACATTCAGGTCAAAACTACACATGACATATTGTTGCATGTGTGTTTGAGGATGCAATCTAATTTGGAAGATCAGCAAAGTAGGACAGAGTAATGAACCCTTTCCCTTCCTCCTGATTTTCTGCTCGTAACTACCACCCTCCCCACTGCTTCCCTCTCATTGGGAGAAACAAAGATTCAGATCGTTCTGGCATCACTGGATGTGATGATTTGTACCCCACCCTGAGCCTGCCACGGTGGGGAGGGCGGGGTACAAATAAAATAAATAAATATCCTGGGGACCCCCCCCCCCCAAAAGCCCTGGTACAGAATCTACTAAAACTATTTACAGTCTAATACTGGGACATGAGCTTATACCTCATGTGCACAGGGACAGACACAAACTTGTTTTGCTGTTTGTTCCCGATGCACTTAAATGGGGAATCGATGAATCGCATCTCAGCACTGAGAGCTCCCTATGGAGTGTGCAATGATGTGCATACCGAGAAGGGGGGGAACAATGGCATGGAGTTGGGATGGCCTGATCAGACCATCCCGATGCCATGAGAGTGCGCTGGAGCTATCAGACAGGGGAAAGTCCGTCCATGGCCCATAGCAACCCATTTGCTACTGTACTTTCCCTGGTGTCTTTTTACTCCGCTTCTGCAGCAGAGCAAAACGGGTTGCCAATGGGTGCAGGGTACTTCCCAGATGTTAATGTCTGATTGCACCCTTTAAATCCGCCCAGCATTCACACCTATGGCATGGTTAATTGTGTGTGTGACCGCTCTCATACATGCAAGGTTCTGCTGGGGTACTCTAGCACTAGCCTCAGTGATTGACTTGCACAAAAAACAGGGAGAGGCATGAGAGTTCAACATTTCTTCAAAGGCACACCCTTTGATCTGAAAGATCAGCCTCAATCTCAGATGCTTGGACATTCAGGGGGCAGGAAAGACGTGCTTTACATACTCTAAGGCTTGTGTTTTCTTCCTTTGCATAATGATTTAAAACAGCAAAA